CACGGTATAGAACTTCTCTGCCCTTATCTCTTCGCCTGACTCCTGCGAAGGTCCAGGGACCCGACTGACCCAAGGTGACTTGTAATTTTGTTGCTGTTAATGATAATGTTGTTGTCTTTGTTGCTGCTTCTGACAACCATGATTGTTAGTGATACTACTAGTGTCGACGATGTCACTGCTGTAAGTACACTTACAAAAAATAATTTAATAATTTGCTGGGCCAGCCATGGGTTTGATTGGGGCTAGAGGGGTATGTCGAAGATTTCCTGAGGTGAGGACGCTCCCCTCCCCATAAATGGCAAAGCCACTTAAGAGTAGATCCAGGCCAGCGGCACGTAGTTCATCCACATGGTCACAAGACCGCCACCTGGAGGAAAGAGGAGCCTATACTTTCGTTGCTGTTGGAACTGGTAGGTCGCATGTTGAACTAGATTGGTAAACTTTTAGTCGCTTCGCAATGTATGTATTAGTTTGGTATGTCAAAGACTGAAAGAGGGCGAAGGAATAGATGATGTAGTGTTGAGAATTTGAGAGTGGAAGTGTGAGACAAGTGAAACATTACTAAAGAGTAAAAGCCGAGAACGGGGAATAATTAGAAAGAAGAGAGATGTCCGGAAAGGTGTAGTTGAATATCCTGAATGAGGTTGATGTTCAATGTAAAATAGTGATGTAGGGGAAAAGTAAAAACAAGTAAAGGTGTGGAATAAATAGGGTAAAGGAAGTGTTTTTAGAAGCGAAGGAAAGCAGAGCGAAGTTGCGAAGTTGCGAAGTGCATGGGGCTGGATGGAAATTTGAATTTTTGGAGGGGAGTATGAGATGAAATAGATTAGGTATTTACTTACTGTTGTTTGAAAAAGGTAGCAGAAGCTGTTATTGTTGTTGTAATTGTTCTTGTTGTGGTTGTAGGTAGTAGTAGTTTGTTGGTGTTGTTGGTGTTGTTGGTGTTGTGGTGTTGTGGTGTGAGAAAGGAAGACTGGAAGAGAAAGATGGGGGGAGACTGGCTATGTTTATATAGGAAAAGATTTCAGGCGGCTGATTTTGGAGTTCTGATTTGCAAGGCTAAGGTGCTTCGTACCTTCCTCCGCACCTTCCTCCGTACCTTCTTCCTACGTACCTTTGATCATCGTAACTTTGCTCGTCGTACCTCAGGTACCTAGTGATTCATGTAGTTACGGCAACCCAAATGACCAATAGTGGAATAGTGGAATTATCCAGCTCACCAATATATTTCATTGTACACAGGTACGTACCCAAAAGCATACATTCTCCTTGATTCCTACAGATGTATCTACTTTATGTACTCCTACTTATTTCCCTTTGATTAAGAATATAGACGTACTTAGGTAAGTTACTGAATTTAATATGTGTACCTATGAATTAGCACCATCTACTTATTAAATCTTCTAGATCAGATTTATTTAATTCCAGACGTTTGATCTAATAGCATCCGTGATTCAGTTTAACAAGTTCTAATCAACTCCTAATCAGCTCGACTCGATAAAAAGTAGGCCGAATAAATAGTTAAAAATAAATAGTTAAACAGATCACTTTAGGCAATTCTTTTTGGTTTATTGAGATTCGTGATTTCGAATACGTACCTAGGTACCTACCAAAATAAGGTACATTCATGTTGCTGTTGCTAAATCAACCAATCAAGTAATTTAAAGTCTGATTCTCTCTTGATCCTTAGGAGCCTCAACTCTGTAGCCTTGCTGCCTTGTCCATTATGTACCTAATGTACCATCATTGAGTACCAAGGTACTTACTTAACCTACCTATCATGCTACTTATGATGTAGGCATCTACTTAAGTAGATACATAGGTACGTTAATAATTTATGTAAGTGAACGTGTGTTTACTCGTAAAGGCTACCTAGGTGCGTACCTACGTACCTAAGGTGCCTACGATGTAGGTATGTAGTATGTAGATCCTGGCTTGCTCTGCATGTTTTTTCGAACCTTGATGATATTCAGACTTGAGTCGATTCCGGCGTAGATCCCAATCACCAAGGCTTACCAGAGGTTACGATAAAATGTGGACATGATATATACCTATTCTAAGATACTTTTTACTGTATTAATAGGTATGGATCGATTATGTGTGACCATCTAGAGCTATACGAGGTGGTGTGCTATTTGATATATGCCATGCTTCTATGATCCTTAGAAGCTCAAGCCTCAGTAAAATACTAGTTATGATTTTAACCAAACCTCTCCTGAAGCTGATTCAACCCAATTCCGCCATGTGCCTTATTCATATGGTCGTAGCAATCAGTATGTGCCGTGAAAGTTTTTAAACAAACCCAGCAGATATGGGCGCCGCATGGGCAGGTCATGTGGTTACACCCATCGATCTTCTCCATAGGAGTCTTACACTTGGGACAGTCTTTGATACCAATAGCCTGCTTCAATCTCTTGAGAGCTTCAAGCCCGCCTGTTGAAATATCCTTGTAATCTCCGCACGTCATAGATCCATGCTGAGCTTGGCATACTGTGCACAGAAGTACATGGCAGCTGGGGCACATCTGGGTCTTGGGTATGGCGTTAATCCGATAGATATATCCGCAATCCGGAGATGGGCAATAACTAAACAAATGTGGGTTGTGTTGCACATATGAATCGAGAGATTTTTCTAATAACTCCTCAAATGAGCTTGATGAGAGATGTTCTTGTAACTCTGAGAGGCCTATTGTTTTGGGACATCTTCCGAGGTCTCCGACACAGGAAATTCGGGTGGCCGTGACTTGTGTCATAGCTGAAAGGCATAGGTTTTCAAAACAGTCGAGGCAGTAGACGTGACCGCACTCCGTGTAGACTGGGTCTTCGACTTCGTTCCAGCATACGGAGCAATCTTGAACATCCTGGATGCTTATCTCCTTTTTTGTTTCCTCTTTGTCCTTGATCAAGGAAGTTGCTGTATCGTAGTCTCCAGTAGTACCGATTATCGTAATACGTTTTGGCGTTGATGTGATATCAAACATGATATTCTCGGAACCCAACCTTTTCTCTATCTTTTTCAAGCCTCCTTGAAGCGCCCACGAAAATTCATGGTCCTCGAGTTGAATATCGAAATGTTGGGATGCCTCATCTCGCAGCAGTTTAGTAATCTCAGATTGGCTAATCTGGCAAGCCTTTTCCGGTCCATATAACTGAAGCTGTGATTTAACTTTGTTCCGAATAATGGCGATCCCATTCCTCTTTTCTATCTGCCTAACATGATCGTAAAGCGCTCCATTCTTGCGTAGGGCCGGATGCCACAGGATGGAAGAGCTATCTCTAGCCACTATACCAGATATGATTCTCGTGATGGTTTTTTGTGCCGAGGCCACCTCCTTTTCTGCTTCGCCCTCAAGTTTTAACACCAGATACCACTTCGGGGGACTTGAGTTCTCGTAAGCCACGTAAGTCAAATGTGAAGCCTTCCAGGCCCTAATATTTGCTTTGAGTTGGGCTTGGACTGCTTCATAGATCTTTACATGTACCTTAAACTTTGCTGTGTGAACTAACTGTGTAGTAAGCTTGGCAGTTAAGTGAAAAGGGAGCGGCTTTTTGTCGAGTGATACTGCGGCTTCTCTGGCATCATCCTCATTCTGAAATCGCGCACTTGCTTTCATGCGCTTACCAGCAGTGTCGGGAGTAAATTCCCACCAGTCCAAAGGTCCAATGGAAGTAAATAATGATTGAATCTTTGTTGAACATGTCTCATCATCAGCGGTATATGTGGGACGTCCGAGCTGGATTCCTCGCGGCTTGTCGTTTTGATGATAAATAGACTTCTTGACATCGGATTCGGTTGCGGAAACTGGTACTTCCGTTAGGCACACAGTCCATGCTAGAGGATTATGATGCCCTTCCCCACGGTCCGGATCATTGCTGTGCACGCTTTGGTTCAAAATCTTGTATGTTCCATCCCGAAACTTGTTGCGTACACGCTCGGCAATCTCCCCGTTGCCAAAGTTGAGCCACACTGTCCTGTATGGTTTGTGCCAAGATATATGGACCTTACAGCAATCAACACGAAGAGTATTCGAATCTGACTGTATAGGGTTCGCTATTGGAGTAGCTGTTGGCTGCAGCTTTTGGGCCGGGTAGGAAGCTTTCTGTGGGTTGAGTTTTCTCGCGGCGGTCTTAGCGAATTCGGGATCTTTGACTTTTACCAGGGCACTCCAACTATCCCGTTCGTGAGTGATGCGCACTTCCGTTTCAATTGGCGTATTGATATTGTGTGACCGAAGGAGGTCTAATACGTAGTTTCTTGTACTATCTTGTGGGAGTTGGCTGATTTGAACGGTAGAAAAGTCTGATGGCAATGATATCTTTTCGACAGTAGCGCCTTTCTCAAAGTAAACCAAGGCACCACGAATAGTACGAGTGACTTTGTCTTGCGTTGAAGTCGCAGGGATCTATAATAGTCATCAGCTAGGAAATATCCCCCCCTTTACTAGCCTTACCTCATTCGGCATTCTTTGAAGGGAATTATCAGATGTAGCATTATTCTCATGTAGGTATGGGCAAGAATCGCCATTTCGACACCGGCCTTGCTGGAAAAATCGGCATTGTATCTGGGATCGTGAGTCGTTAGACATTGCGAACCTTTGATTAGATTCTCGAAGCATAGGATTAGAAGGACCCCAGTGGCGTTCTCCGCTTGGCTTGAAATCGAAGGCGCTTGGGTTTGGTTTGAACTTCGTCATTTTTATATATATGGGAAGTATATGCTGAATGAAACTAGGTAGACGAAGATGGGCTATTATGTAAAGAACTCGGACAGCAATAGGGATTCGAGAACGTCGTAATGATTTATCCGTTAGGCATCAAAGATCAAGTGACCAGTTAAAAGGGACGCCGTGGTCACACGGCATAACTGTATTAAAACCACGGCGAAAGAAACCAGAAGGCTTGACCGAAACTGCAGCAGTCAATACTATTGGTCTGTTCTAAAATAATAATTTTAATGAATAAGCGTAGTTAGAGATGTTCAGCATCGTCTCTACCTTTTTTTCTCATTTAACAGGAACTGAATATATACAACTTAATTTGGTTAAATCTCCGTGAAATATATTGTAATGCTTATTGCTATGAACCCTTTGCATGCTTAGCAAATATTCTTGCTGGCATTACCTTCGATTGTCCAATTGGTATTTTCACCACAAGGAGACTCACGGACAGAGTTGTTGTTTACTGTCAGGGTGATCCAAATGTCGCGGTTATTGGGGAATTCGTCGCGGGCTGCGAGACGTACTTCTCCGCCCCCATTGACAGTGCCCCCGCGGATCGAAAGATTGTAGCAGTTCTCAATGAGGATAGCATTGTTTCCGTTGCTAGAGAGGTCGACGCTCTCGATGACGGTTGCTCCGGATTGCGAAACGCAAAAGATGCCACGACCGCCACCACGGGACACGACTTTGTCAACATGAACATTAGTGTTGTAATTACCATTAGGATTTTGGCCGTTATTATTTGCCATGCGAAATGTTGCGTACCCGGTACCTTTGGCGACGTTGTCACCATCGACGAGTTTAACATTGGCGTTAGTGGTCTTCTGGAGCAGTAATCCGCACTCGCCGACATCCTTAGCGATAACTTGATTGATTTCAAGACCATCAATGTTCCAGGTCTCTACAGCGTGACTACCAGCACCGGTAACTTTGATAACATCCATCTTCACATTCGAGTTTGCAGCTGCGTCTCTGTCAAAACGGATGCCCAAACCGCCGCTAAGATTCATCGTGATTTTCCCAAGAACTAGGTCCTTGGTGCCATAAAACCGCAAGCCAAAGTACGGATTACCGGTCATGGTAAGGTACGGAATTTGAACACCAGAGGTATCCAACGACTCAATTGCACCATGCCCGGCCCGGTTTCCAACGTCAATAGTACCGCAGCCCTCGAATATCTTGCCACTGCTAATGGTGATAGTATTGGCACCAATGGATCCCGAGGCCATGACAGAGACACGTTGACCGCTGCTTATTGAATCCACAGCTGCCTGGACCGCCGCGCGGTAGTCAGAGCCAGAGTATACTGTACTTGAGCCTTTAGTGGCCTTGAAAGAATTGCCAGAACCAGTCACGGTAGCATCCGGAGTGCCAGAGCCGCACTGCGCCTGAACAACAGCGACAAATGCGAGCGCCGCCGCGATGATAAAAGATCCAGTCATGATAAAATTTCTTGTGTTTATAAGAATGAAGAAGCAGGTTGGGATTATCATCTCGCCGTGCTTCTAAGTGCGGTTACGGCGCCGTTTTTATAGACATACTGAAGAGTAGATGGCCAAATTCATGAAATTACTGCATATCTTCCACCGGAGTAATCGATTCCACGATATGTTGTCGGTGCCAATGTCTACATCTTTATTAACGCACCAATCCGAAAGTCGAGTTGCAGCCGGGATAAGTTAGGCATGAAATAGCTCTCTTGGCATGGAAAAGGGGCATCTTGCTCCGTAGCTGGCTTTGGTTGCAATGCAAATAAGCCTAATTGTGTCCACGAAGAATATCAAGGATACTTGCGGCCACCTAGTCTAGTAGGTGTCTGAGTATTTATACTATAGCCTTCAACGTGTATCCTTTTCTTCGGACAATCATATATCAAGCTACCTGACATGATTGCTACTTCAAACCCGTCTTTATTTACTCTTATTTTACTACTGTACTTCATACAGTCGTAGTGTTAATTGTGTCCCGATGATCCCAGGAACTATATTCCTAAGAACGGGCGTAAACTATCAGTTTTATTCTTACTCATAAGTTTACGAATACCCATATGATGGGTATTCGTAAACTTATGTGTATACCTGTTTTTGGGCACCTCCCTACCCGTACCCTAAGAAGGAATATAAGAGTACATCCATATATGTACCTACAGCATTGAATTAGGTACCTCGGGCAACTCGAAGAAAGGCGTCTGCCAGTTGATCAGACTTCCTGGTCTACGCCTTCCAGCGCACGTCAGGTAGGTACCTACTTAGGTACGTACATGTAGGTATCCGTTACGATCACCACACAGCTTTACCGCTTTACAACCTCTTTACAGTGTCCGTATTTCCTTAATGTTCCTACTAAAATTACCATCGCCACCTATCAAATTATTGCTCTACAATCAGTTAGCATTCCGTCCCCTTTAAATCTACCGCGTTGAAAAACCTCGCTGGATACATCGATACATCGATAATAAATAGTTTTTCTTCCTTTGCAATCACCAAGATGCCTTCCATTCAGGACTTATCGCCTGAACTCATCGGCCAAATTGTTGATCTAATTCGACTGTCCTGCCCCGAAACTTTGGATGCCCTTTCCAAAGTCAACACAGCCTTCCGAAAAGAAGCGATGTACAACCAGTGCCGTATCTCTTGCTTCTGTCCTGATGATGTGGACAAGAAGCTGGCGAGTATCGAGAGAAATTGCATGTGGCGCGCAATCCGGTATCTTGGAGTTGATCAAACGGATAGTGACGGCTCATTCGCTATTCAAGAGGAAAAAATATGGCATCTTCTATATGACTCTATACCCCGGATGACAGGGCTCCGATACGTTCTGATTGACTTGAAGAATAATTACGTCTTCAAAGGCTTAATCAAAGCACTTCAACATCGACCTGACGTACGACTGGATGTGGGTATGGAACTCGACGAGTGCCCCTCCGAAGGAAACATGCTTGCACTATTGCAAAACAACCTCAACCTATATTCAATATGTGTGGTGTATCGGGGGAATGACGCAAGGGACTTCAGTAAATTGATGAAACTTTTGAAGATAGTTCTTCTTACTTGTCCTCAGCTCCGCCATCTGGAGTTCCGAAATCGTATTTCAAATTTTCCTGATCATCAATACTACGGTTTCGGGTTTGCCAACAATGAGCGGCCTCCAGCGCTACATTCTCTAGAGCTATTCGGCTACCCTTTCGGAAATGATGGTAGCAACCCAAACATCGTGACTACGATAGGTTACCAAGGTCAAGAGGAACATTACTGGGCTAACAATTTCGACTGGTCGCAAATGAGACGACTCAATACTCAGCACATAGGAATGATCTTACAATGCTTGCACAAATTCACCTCACTCAAAGAAATAGTTCTCGAAGCTTACAACTATAAAGATACAGACACGAAAAAGTTATTCCAGCTAGTTCCGTCGATACTGGAAAGTATCACAGTTCCTTCTATGGATGCGATCGGCATAGAGGGTATCTTGAGACACAGGCGTAAACTTCGTATACTCCATGTGTGGTTAAAACCTAAGTATTCATGGGAGCCTTCACAGTTGATCTCATCAATGGATGCAACTACTATCCGCCGTATACGAGATAGTTGCCCTTATATTGAGGAATTGGCTTTGAGCTTAAATAGGGGTACGATGTGGTCTAATGATACATTGAATATCTTGGCCTCATTTCCAAAGTTGCACACTTTGACGTTGGACTTCCAGCCCTGCCTACTGCGTTATGACATATACGACCGTTCCTTTACCGGTATATCTGTTAGGGATGACGCTGTGCAGGAATCTCCCACTGTCTACTTGACTATGTCGACTGTTCAACAGCTCTTCAAGCACCTATTGCAGACAAGCCCGACAGCGCGGCCATCAGCGCTTAGAAAGCTTCACGTCAAATATAGACTACCACCAATCCTTGATCCGGGGGAAGACGGGATGAACTCCGATTGGTTTTACGACAATGATGTTTCATTCGAGTGCAAACTTTCCGAACGAGATGTAGATAAGCATCGCGGCATCTTCAGTATTACATGCCAAGATCTTGTGGAGAAGGAAAATGCCATTCTCCAGGATGCCTTAAATATGCACAAAGATCCAGCACAAATACTTCTCGGGAGCGAAGATCAGATCAAGGCCGTCAACTGCAAATTTAAGGTTGCCTGGTACGGACCATTACCACTAAGGGACTAGGAGTCCTATTGGTATGAGCAATCTAGAGCTTATCAAGTATTCAAAAAGGTGAAAGGTAATGCCGTTTACGAAGATACCATTTCGCCACCCGACGATGACAGCTCTAGCTATACCGGTGCGAAATAATTTGTATTTTTTCAGGGAAACGTTCTCATTTGGGCGATGCGGTCATGGGACCTTATGAGGTGGTTACCTAGCTACCTACCTTGGTATACTCATTGGGCATGTGTAAGTACACCACCATACCATTGATACACCCAGCTTTACGATTTCGTAGACATAAGTTCAACGAAATCGGAGATGAAATCTTGAGCAATCATGAAGAAAGTGAAGGAACAGAAGAGGGAAGGTAGGGGTGAATCAAGTAGTTACGAGAGCTAGGCTTAGGAGAATGATCGTTGCATAACGATTCACTCTTATTTACCAGGTACACAGTTACATAATAGACATAGGGGTTTCGGAATAAATGTTTCGTGCTTTGAAAATCATACTATCACACTAAGCTAACACCTACGGTAGCGAATAAAACCAAAATCACGCTCGCGCCTAGGTGTACTTATAGTAATATCTCATTTGCTTGGTGTTGGCCTTCTGACCTTATCTAACCTAACAACTACTTGCCCAACCCGTCGAGAACTAGCAGAAAGTAGGGACAAGATAGAGGATCTAAATGTATTATCTCTTGTAGACAAGTTACGAGGCTATTTATACCAATGCCTTGGCCTCGCCATCCTTTAGCTTGCCAGCAGCGATTAGTCTCTTGACCTCCTCGCTCCATACGCCCTTGATCTCGTCCGCGACCTTGAGACCGCCTAGCTTGCCAGCTAGAGCTGCAATCTCATCGGGATCTATCTTGCCCTGTACGAGCTCGACGTCGTTCAGCACGGCATCGATCTTGGCGGGGCTAGCGTCGCCAGCACCGGCAAAGTAGTTGGCATCCTTCACGGAACCACGCAGAACACGCTTGTTCTTCTTAACAGCGTTCTTGGCGGCCTCCTTAGCCTTCTTGTTGGCTTCGCGCTCCGTCTTAGCTTTCTCTTCGGCCTCTTTGGCGGCCTTCTCTTCTGCTTCCTTCTTCAGGCGGGCGTCCTCCTTAGCCTTCTTCTCGGCGGCTTCCTTGTCGAGACGCTTCTTGTTCTTGGCGGCGTTGGCTTCCTGGCGGAACTTCTTGATACGCTCATCGCTGGCGGAGCAGTCGTCGAGAAGCTTACGCAGGCGCGCGTTGTCCTCGGCCTTCTTCTTCTTGCGGGCGTTGGCGTTCTTGCGCTCCATGTGACGCTTTTGGTCGCGGTTCTCGTTGTCGTCCGGTACATCCTCGTCTAGATATTCGAACGAGCGCCATGAGTCGAAGTTGTACCAGAAGTTGTAAAAGTTCTCGACTTCTTCCTTGGTCGAGTTCTCATCACCAAAGGTAGGTACGGGCTGTTGCTTGGAGAAGCGGGCCTCGGACTTGAAGACACGGCTCCAGAGCTTGTAGTAATTACCCTTGGCCTGCTCCTTCTTGTTGGGCGGGTCAACGTCGGCCTTCTCGTCAACAGAGTCGAACTGACGGCGCTTGACAGGATCAAGTAGAACCTCAGTAGCTTTCTGGATACACTTGAAGAAATTATCGTCCTCAGTACTGCCCTGAGCCGCCTTCTTGTCCGGGTGGTGCTTTAGGACCTTCTTGCGGTGAGCACGCTTGATTTGTTCCTCCGTTGCCTTCCATCGGTACTTGGATAGACCGAGTACTTGGTAGTGATCTTGCGACTATATAAAGACGTTAGTAAACTGTGAATAATAGTAAGCATTTAACGAATATTTTATATATCCTTACCTTCCAGTCCTTGGCTTCCCGTTGAAGCATTAAAGGATCCTCAGGTTCGCTAACATCGCTCTCGTCGTCCTTCTCAATTTTCTTGGCGCTCTCTTGGGCTTGAATCCGGTCATCTTCGGAGAATGTGCGCTTATGGCGGGCACGGCGGGCATGGGCAAGGAAATGAGGGCCGACAGGTTCAATAGTACGCTGAGTTGATGCAGTAATAGAACCAATTGGTTTGAAGTCTTTCTCTGCAGACCAACCTTCCGGCAGGGTGGGCAGCGATCGTGCTACTATGGTTGACGTAGCCATTGTCGGTCGTTGCTATACACGTCCGATGGGTTGAAGGGACGAAAAGTTGTGAGGTAACCTTCGTGGGGTTAAAAGAATTATTTTTTTCTCTTATCTAGAACTTTTACGATTCCGACAGTGGAAAATCATTGCAGGGATTCCTTGCATTAATTAGGTACCGAGTTATGCAATCGCCCACTACCACCATAATACCTAATGGTAGGTACGGCTAGTGGGGGTGAGCAGCCACAGTTTAATCCATACCAAGCCACAACTTTTTCTGTCGATTCTATTCCGTACAAGCTCCAGAAACTTCTTTGTACCTACATACCTACGGAATACCAATGTTCTGCATAACTGCTTACAGGTACACAATAAACCTGCCTACCAATTTGATATCTGTGTTCTTAGCCTGATACTTCCACTTCTAAATAAACTATACTCGTTGGTGGTTGGAATCAAAATGGCCTTACAAGCCTATAGAGGTCTCCTCCGAGCAGCGAGGATAGCTTTTCAAGGTAGGAATAACTAGATGAATTCAAACCTGGCTTGCATAATTGTTGACGCTGTATTTTTAGGCGATGAACGAGTCCTAACCGCAGCACGGGCCTCTATACGTGAAAGTTTCCAAGTCAATGCCTCGCTAGAGTCTACGGATCCCGAGTTACCGGGCGCCATCAAGCATGCTGAAGAAGTCGCCGCCATTTTACGACAGAATATAGTGCAGGGGAAGAAAGACGGCGAAACATATAGTACGTTTTCAACTTGATATGGATTTAGTCAAGGTAAGATACGTCCCTAACAGAACATCTAGAGCTACGGATACACAAGGATACGGAACGTGGCGACAACGATACAGTCAAGTTCCCGAATGGTCAGACAGTGAAAATCGATGGGAAGACGTGTGCCGATAGGTGACACAGACAATGAGGCTAAATCCTGGAAGTCTTGTATTATATCATGATACCCATAGTGTACCAACAAACATCATAGCCGCTGTCAAGTGGTTGCGCATCCTTATAATAGATATCTCACTTAAACCCTATTGTAATCGCAATGCTCAAACGCCGCCCATGCAATAAGTCATCTCTTCTTCTTTAGTCTCCGGCCAAGCTGGCATAGTTGACATCCGCTGCCCCCGGCGGCGGTGCCACCATAGCCATGTTATCAATATCCTGTGCTGCTCCGTCCTGGCTTGCTCCTCCCTGAGACGGCGGTGCTCCGATCGCTTTGGGACCGCCATTTCCTCGTCGTTGGTCTGGAAATGCGGATCGACCATCGCGAGCCATAGAGGCCCTTTCCTCCTTATTCATCGTTCCGATTGCCTTAGGTAAACTCCAGCGCACTCGAAGCGGGCAGCCTGCAATCACCGCCCGGCCCTGGCAAGCCTCGGCTGCTTTCTCGGCGGCCTCTCGCGTCTCGTAGTTGATGAATGCGCAGTGTGACATATGACTACAGATCAACGACTTGATCTTACCGTGTTCCTTAAAAAAGTCCCGGATTTTGTACTCGGGTAAGTCGTCTTCGACACCGGTAACGAATAGACTCATGATAGATTTGTCGGAAGGAGGCATCCAGTCTTTAGGACCGGGTGGTAATTGGGATGCACTGGGGAACGGTCTTCCTCCTCTTCCTGACCTCGGACCTGTACCAGCACCCGCTGCCACCGCTGCTCTAGAGTCGCGAGTGCGTATCGGGCCCGGTCCACCAATGCCAGCTCCTACCACTGGACTACCTCCTCTTGAACTTCCAGTGGGTTTCGATTCGGTTGCGCTTCCATCCTCAATTGCCCGTCCCTTTCTGAAATACGGCTTGCTGTTCGCTAGTCGTCGTAACAGCTCGCGCGCCTTCTCGTCTGTCTTCTCATATTCTTCGGTACCTCTTCCCTCTTCAAGAGCCTTCTCGTTGTTCTGGGCGAAGTACTCGCGGTTGACTTCGCTCTGGGGTCCAGGCGCAACCATTTTAAGGGCGGCATCACGAAGTTGGATGGGTAGACCAAACTGCAAGTCGAGCATGCAGCATTGACAGCAATTCTTCATACGTGCACATGTAAGGCAGACGTTTGTGCGTTTCTTGCGGCCGTGGGCGCGGTCGGCAGCCCAAGAGAAGATGGTATAAGGTCGCGTACAGATCTTGCATTCGGCGCCGTAATCCTCTTTCAACATCTTAACATATGGGTTCGGCGGCAGGCAATTCTCGCATACGGATGGAAAGTCGGTTGACTCCCAGCCTGATCGGTTCAGGTCTTGTTTTATTTGAGGCGGCATGTTGTGAGAAAAAGTGGTTAAAGTTTTAATGTTGGTGAAATTGTCGCGACGGATTGGAAATTTGAGGCGTTCGTAGCTTAAAGTTGAATCATAGTGGGTCTAAAGATCTTATCTACCTAATCAGGTGAGCTGGTGAGGTACGAAGTAGTGAGGCTGCATTAGTTTAATATGTGGCTGATTGATGGTGGCGATATCAGAGTTAAGGAAATCTTAATAAGAAATATCCTTTTTAGAAGCATACATCATAACATTAGGCACATAATGCAACTATACAGGGTCTCCCTCATCTCCCCCGTGGGGTCCGCCGCCCAAGCCAATGGCCCGGGATCCATTTTAACTTCAAAGATGGCATTTTGGGTTTCAGCCCGGCGGTTCAAATTCCCATTTTCTAAACAAAACATTGCGGACTCCCCTAATCTCTTTATATTAATACCTATCAGCAACCTACTACCCCAGCAAGCCACGATGCCTAACAGCCATGATGTCTAATGAGACCAGCAAATCGAGATTTCCATATAGAAGCCCCATGATCAGACCAGAAATCATTTAGTCACAACATAATCGTAATTTATAATAAGCAATGCGCTCTCTCGTAAACCATGTTTACCCTTGCCACATTTACCTTCGCCGTGGGCCGGTCAATACCCCCTCAATAGGTACTCAACTGCTATTAAGAGTTGAGACATGAACTTAGTTAAACCACCGAGCGCTTCCCCGCAACAAAGGTCCGAGTTGGGAAAAGTTGGGAAAAAAACACCATGTTGTTGTCGTACCATATCACCAGCTCTGCTAATTTTCATAAGACACATGTTAGATAAGTACATAAGTACTCTAAGTTGAATGTTTTACTGGAAACGTAAAGCAACTTAAAGCAACAGATATGTAAGTTATGCCCTGTCCACGAGACCATACTCGAGGGACTAGTTCCGGTCCGGCTCCTTAGGTGGCGTTTCCTGTCTTCTTATGTTAAGATAGTATGGTAAATCCTAAATGGGATGAGACAACTCCCCATACGTGCTCATGCTCGGAGATGCCATGGAAAGCCTATATCTATACTCTCATTTCCCATCTTTTTCCATAGAACCACCTAGCTATCTTCACTCTCCTACCTTATTTATTCCCAAGACTTCCTTGCCTTTTCAGATAACATCATGGAAATTTCCCAGAATAGGATTGGGAAAGATCCTCAAATGGTCAACCAACCCGCTTCACCTATCCAAGGTAGTAGTACTGGCGAAAGCGTCTCGGCGCAATCTACAACATCGCGGGCAACTATACCCAAGCACACTATATCACACGACGAAGCCGCATTAGTACAAGCAAGCTCAGGTCCCAGCATCCTTACGGAAAATGACTGTCCGGAAGCCCTGGCTTACGCATGGCCCGAGTGGAAAAAATGGGGGACACTTACTATCATCTTCCTCGTCCAAATCTCTAGTACGCTTCTCTTTATGTTTATGCCACTATACAGCCTATACTTTCCCTGCTTCGAATTCCTATATAGGTACCTTATTGAAACGCGGATCCTAATTTTGGCTCTTTAGTGAACTTGAACGCTTCCTTATATGCGAACGGACAGAGCGGTATTGTCAAGGACCTCGGTGTTAGCAGCCAAGACGCAGTTAGCGGTGCCGCCGTGTTTCTCGTCCTATATGCGTTTGGATGTGAGCTGTAAGCTTAACCAATACACTCTCCATCCCGGCCTCTCATGTGTTAAACCCTTCCATAGATGGGCGCCTTGGTCTGAAGAATTCGGCAGAAAACCAGTTCTTCAATACTCGCTTCTTATGGTCAATTTATGTTGCATCCCTGTTGCTCTCGCCAATATACATCGGTCATTCGTTGGAATTCTCCTCGGACGTGCATTTGGAGGCCTTTTCTCCGCCGGCGGCAGTGTTACGCTGGGAGTTGTTGCGGACATGTTTACCGCTGATGAGCAAGAACTCCCGCTGGCATATATTGTCCTCTCTTCCGTAGGTGGCTCTATCATCGGACCCATCATTGGCGGATTTATCGAACAAAATCTATATTGGACGTGGACGATCTGGATCCAGCTCATCTTCGGATTGTTTGTCCAAATACTACATTTGGCATTCGTTCCAGAAACTCGTTCCGCCATTCTAGTTAATAGGTATGCGAAGAAAATGAGGGAGGCTAAACTCGAAGCGACCGGCGAAAATAGCAACGTCTTCGGACCCTTCGAGTTGAAACCGTTCACAGACTATCTAGTTCCAAAGGAAGTTTTCGCTATATGGACCCGTCCTTTCCAGATGCTCTACAAGGAGAAAATCGTCTTGGTGCTATCTTTACTGTCCGGGTTTAGCGATGCCCTAATTTTCATGCAAATCCAGTCCCTGCGTCGCGTATTCCAGCAGTGGAACTTTACCAACATCCAGATAGGGCTTGTAGGTCATATTAATAGTCACGTTAAATCGTGGTATGCTTGCTAATCCCGCCACTAGGCTTTTATCCCGTTTGGACTTGCTTATATCCTGGGGTATCTACTATTCATTCCATCCATATACCGTAACCGGGCGCTACGGGCGAAGAATCCTCTTAGTGAGCACGCTCAATACGAATCACGATTATGGTGGCTTCTCTTCACCGCACCACTTCTCCCCATCGGATTAGTGATATTTGCTTGGACAAGCACGCCTGAGGTGCATTGGATTGCCCCGATGATTGGGTGCCTCTTCATCGGCATCGCTAACTATACCATCTACATGACTACTATCGACTACATGGTGAAAGCGTACGGTCCTTATTCTGCCTCTGCAACGGGAGGCAACGGCTTCGCTCGTGACTTCTTGGCTGGAGTGTTGACATGGGTTGCAGCACCATATTACGACGCGTTTGATTTTCACTACGGTCTTCAGGTAGCGAATACCGTGCTTGCCGGTATCGGATTGATTCTCGTAGTCGCTACATTCGTCATCTACTATAAGGGGCCGTCGATGCGGAAACGTTCACCCTTCGCCGAGTCGATAAGCCATAGCAGAGGTGATGCTTCCGCGGAAGTTCCGCCCTCAACAATCATTTGAAGAAAACGAGAAAGGAAACTAAAGACAAGTATGTAAATATTAACTAGTTGAACCTGAGCAACAAAAAATCAAAATGAAATCAAAATGCCCTGTAAATATGATATAACGTATATAACCGTACCAACTCTACGATATATATTGGTACATAGTTATTTAATTCAGTCTTATCTAGGTAATTTAGTAATTGAGTGTTAATCCCCCCCAAAAACATCGTAGTAAGCCGGTACTCTATTAACATATACCTCTTATGTACCGAAGCACTGTATCGTAATAGACGGCCTCGTTTAGAAGGGATGGTGAGAAAATGAACGAAAGAGGAGAAATTTTTATTTCAAGGGTAATATGCTATTATTACAACTATCGTGACTTTCATGTTGCCATTTTTTTACTTTTCGGTGCTGTCCGCCGGCCTCTAAGCCTCTGCCAAGCTCCGGAGTCCGGGATGTCGGTTTTCGGGGCTCCGAGTTCTCCCAACGATAAAAAAGTAGATGCGGAGAAATTTCACCCCAGACTGTCAGGGCCAGATCAATCGTTCCCGTCGGCTACCTTTTTTCTAACTGGTTCTAGTTTCTTTTCACTCTATAACCTAAGGAACCTACTAAGAGTACAATATATATCTAAAGATTTATATAGAAAATATATTAAGATTCATTTTTAAATATTCATATCATCACTACCTAGGCAAGTGCCTACCTTTTACTTGTTATATGTCGCTTAAGGCACGATTAGAAGAAGTGCCGTTTTTCAATGTAGGTAGTTCATTAAGATCCATTACGAGAGTTAGCTCCTGATATATTCTGGAGACCAATGAGTATCTGTCTAATAAGTCGGTTCTTTTATTATGTCTAATAATTCAATCGATCATAGCCCTCTTAATATTTCGGGGCATTACTAAACCTTACTTATGAAATACGATAGAAACGATAACTCGGCACAATAGACGGGATTCGTAAGACGGGAGCGGCACGAACTGACTCAACCCCAAGCCTCTTAGAACCAAGACTTCATGATAAAAACGACTATTAGCGATATTTTAGTGTAAGTACCTTAGGTAATTTTACGTCGTCTCCGTCATCGTTCTAAATATATTTGGTTCCTTATCCGAACCAACCCCAGAAGATTCGCTACTAACGGCGTAAGTATTTCGCAGCTATTTCTAGTCATGATATTTTCGCTGCGGCTGGATATAACAAAAGTTTATCCTTTACTTAGGTACCAATAGTCGCAAATTTACATGACTACCAATGATCCTGTCAAGTTTTTTTCTTTTTCTTTTTTAAGGGGGCGCACGCGAGCACCTCAGGTTCCTACCGCATCAGCCTATATCCCGTGATAATGTCATAGACTACTTCGTTACATAGCATTTCTAACGGTATACCGATATCAAAGCCATGCTCAAATGACCAGATGTTATAACTACCTAACATACCTAGGTAGGTACCTAGACCTATTATTGAATAAGTTCCTAATATCACTATGCTGGTCTATACTCAATATTAGTTGGATAGTGACAAGTGTCCCAGCCTCAGATGATCCTCACGACACGCCTTTTCAAAACATGCTTAATCTCTGCAAGGATAGCCAGCGAATCGATTACTTCCTTACTGTCCCAAAGCACGGTTTCCCTAGCAGTAAGATAGAGGCGCTCTATCCGCCTCCAATCATTGCCGCCCTCAACGCTTTCGGGTATTAAGAAGCATGCGCGTTCGGTAGTCCGGAGGACACGCCGCCACTGGATTAGCTTTAAAATTGCAAACTTTTGCCCTATATAAGCTCTATGCTTTTGTCCATATTCACTACTTACTGCAGCTATCAACATGTCGGAAATTCTTGCCAATAACTTTGGATACGGCAATGATGGATGAGGAGCGCTGAGTAAGTCCTGAGAGTCTAGCTCTAGAAAAGGAGCACGAAGAGTGATACTTCCCCCCTTTACGGCACCAAAAGGATCATGAGTAGCAAGCTGGATATTGACATCTATAACTTCGGCGAAGCGTTTGACGCGATCGAATTGCGAGTCAGCCATGAACAAAACTTTCCGGCCCAGTATACTTGCCCAACTCCATGATGGAGCAAGATATTGGTCAAGCAAAGTTGGCTCGTCTTCGATATAGCCACTGGGTATGAGTGAGGCTCTTGTCTATTGCATTCCGATGTTAGTCTTGGACTAATTCATACACCTCTAAACCGGGAGCAATGTATTTCAGATACTCGAGGGTAGTATAGTACAATGACGAATCCGTCGAACGAAGGGGTATTTTTATTTGTATAGCTTGCTTACCCAGGTGAGGCCTTGTATTAAATCCATCTTCCAAAGTCCAGCAACGTACGTGTCACCCGTAGCTCGGTGGAATTCCCTTGCGAGTCCCGATAATGCAGGAAGGGTGTCAGTTGGCTTGGTGAGTTGCCTAGATGAATAATTCTCGATGATCGTCAGCCAGAAATCGAAATGTGACATCCCGAGAAAAACCCCAGGCGGCTTGAAGTATCCCTGCAATGTGAATGGTTTCCAGACAATGGCTCTTTGACGTATAGTTTCTAGATCTCGTGCCTGGAGGATATTTGTTAGTGATAGCCATGGAACTGCAGCAGCCGGGGGAATATGCATCTCTCGAAGAAGAGTGATCAACTGTCTCCTCCAACTAGGAATTATCTCCTGACGGAGTGACTGAATGAATTCTTTACTGCGATATACCTCCACTATCCTAACGGTCCGCCCTGCTTCATCTACACTCCCTTTCGGACACTCAAAACACAACTGCTGTTGACCGAACCATAATGTTCGGGGTGCCAAGAGGGTTTCCTGCAAAACCCAACCTCTAGTGTTCGGAATGCTCTGATGCATCCTTTCATCCCATAGTTCAGACCCTAGGCGTAGGAATACTTTAGACGGATTTTTATCTCCGTTCCTCCAGTCAAGCCAACACCTAGGGCGATTCGACGCTACTCTTTCTCGGAAGATCCCTTCGCTAGTTTTGGAAGCACATGCTGCCGCTATCGTGACGACTGCTCCTCTGTAAACCTCGCGCATCTGACTAGCCTCCTGGGCCCAATCCTCATCTGACTCTTGAATAATGCATAACGCATCGATCCAGATGTAACGGATGCCGAGGGCTTTGGTGATGTTTATGGCATCACGGATAGTAGGAGGAAACTCTTCAATTGGCCGGCCCTCGCGAAATAATCGTTCAGTTGCTGCTGTAAGTATGAAACCAGAATCACCGCCCCAACAATATGACAGTGCCGCAAATATTCCACATTGCCCGCCACCATCAACAAGCCTAGGATTCACTCCCTCCGTATCGATAATTCTCGTCGGAAGTTTAGAAGAAGTCGAATATTGAGAAGAACATGACTTATGTTTATTAACGCAGTCGCCTAGCAATCTAGCTGCAAGTTGCAAACACTTTTGCGATCCCGAATTGCTATATATGGACCTAGCAAGAAGATCTTGGTGGTCCAATGGCTCATGACCTACAACTTTGTTTACTCATTACTGTACCATCAGAACAAATCGCGACTTACCTCTTAGGGCGCATACCTCAAATGATGCCAGAATGCGTATAGCTCCCCTTTCCCCGTTTTGAATGACAGCAACATGCGGTAACCCGTTAAGAGTAGCGTCCCAGGCAGTCGTTCCTATGAATATCTGCCGCGCGTTCGTGCCCTTAAGTAACTCATCATGAACAAGTTCGTTAGGGTGAGCATTACTAGCATATGACTGCCATATGCAAGCGCAGAGGTCACATTCATCGATAGAGGACTGTAACGAAAGCAAGTTGGGATGATGTTCGAAAAAGTGAGGGATTGCCGGCCGGAGACATTCTAACGTATCCGGCGCAGTGGGATCATTAAAGCCTTTGGGTGGTTGAGCAGCAGCTTTCACCAATAGTTCTCTCACATCAAAGTTGACGCATATGGCACAGAGCATACTATAACTTTTGCGGCTGTTCAATGAGATCTAGGCATGTGAGAGGAATGAAGGAAGTCGATGGGACGAGACTAGCACGAGAACAAAACGAGAATGATCTAATTTCAGATGCCGCTAGCAGATCTCCATGTGGTATCTCCATGTGGTAAAGCCTCGGCAGCTCGCTGTGGGAACGCTTAGGAGGCAGTGTTTTGAGAAGTCACGGCGACGCGTCATTAGATATGGCTTGTAGGGCTGATTTTATACGGAGTCTTTGAACCGGGGTTTTCGGAATATTCCGTGCCACACAAAGTCGTGTTTATGGGACTACGGGACTTTATGGGACTCTATGCAACGTCCCCCTAGTCCCCTGAATCTAAGAATACTCCGCCTCAACTCGTCGTATTGTTGACCTATACTCTTTGAACCCCACGGTTATCAAAGACTATTCAGAACTTCTGGAAACGCACAGGGGCATTATATTCCCCCCCTTCACTATGTTACTCTACGCAGGTAGTGTATATCTACTACCAAACCGAATTAAATACATAAGCTAAAAGCCTGTGCCGTTTGGCAGGACGGGTTTAGGGATAGTATGTAGCGAATCAAATTCGATGTGAATCACGCTTGGCAAGATAGTCGACATCTTCCTTTTTCATATCTTATTAATATTCCTCCCTATCAATCTCCAATTGCCCAACTACCGTCGGCCATCTCTAGATGACTACTTGCTTCTGCATGGGTACCTACTTTATCTAGCATACAGATGCGAATTTAGGCTTTTACAAGAGCGAATTTAGTCACAAAAAGGTATCACGCGAGATCAAATGCCGATCCCAATGGCGTCGAGCGCACCAAGTTGGCCAGGCGTGCGTCCTGTCAAGACATGCACAGAATGCAAGCAATCAAAGGTGCGTAAACCCATCCTCGCATGTTAGGATAGACTCAACTAACGCTGAGACAGCTTCGATGCGACTCCAAGGATAGGTTTCCAAATCCTTGTACAAGATGTCAGGCAAGAAACCTTACTTGTACGGTTGATCCGTCCTTTCGGAGAACGCCGGCTAGAAAGTATGTCTTCAGGCTCCTTGACGCCGAAATATCTGCGTAGGAATTTTCTTCATGTGGCTACTAATGACGGCGAATAGACGGCTTGAGGCCATGTCAAAAGAGCTACGAGAGCTTCGAGACCAGAGAATATCAGAAGCGCGCGCCGGTTCTACTACGAGCCCAGATCCGGATACTACACGATCGCAAGATTCATCCATCAATGCATCGCAGCCGTCCGTTACTATTATGATGGACGACTTCGAACTGATAGGCTTGGAATCTTTCGATCTTGGTGGCGTTATAATTGACAACCAGACAGCTATCACGGCATTCAAGCAGTAAGTATTTTTGTTGTCAAATAAGTCAATCCAAATTAACAGATCTTGCAAGTTTTACTGCCTACTTCCTCCCAAATCTCCCAATACTAGGACCGGTATCGCTCAAAACCATTCATCATTCTCACCCGTTCTTATTCTGGACGATAATTGTTGTCGTCTCATTACGTTTACCCGCAGGCTTAGATGAGACCTTATTCGATCGACTCCATGAGCCGTACATGAGAATGCTCAGGGAGGAAATTCTGCGGGCTCCAATGCCGCTAAGCAAGATCCAAGCGCTTTTGATTCTTTGCATGTGGCCGCTACCAGTACCTCACCAAAGGGATGACCCAAGCTGGCTATACTGTGGGATCGCAGTGAATGCTGCCCTTTATATGAGTCTTCATAGATCGAGCCCAAGATCAGGGGTTGTTCCTTCTCTACATAGCGTTGGTCCCGTAGGTGGAAGCGCCCGCGAGAGAACAAACACATGGTTGGGTTGCTTCTATGTTAGCACATCGTAAGCCGTTCGATCTCGTATAAGATCTATCAGCTAGCTAATTATCTTTCAGTCTTAGTATGCATCTCGGCCTTCCCCCGATGATCAATACACCTTCCGACCTTGCTGCTATCCGTACGACTCTCAGTGAAAATACGCTTCCTCGCGAGTTCGCTGTTCAGCTTAGAGTGCTGCTCACTTTGGCGGGGTTTACCAATGTCCTTGTACATAATGCGAACGACGGCGTAGTCGATTCTTCGGTCATTCAGCTTCTTGACGGCGAGCTAGATACCCTAAAAATAACCTTTCCTGATGGATGGACAAGCATGACTGACCTTAGTGTCCTGGTCGTGAAAATGCACATTTACACTCTAGTGATAACCCGGGCGCGATCAGGTACCGGTGCGAAGGAGATATTACTCAAATTAGGGCTGGCTACCGCTCTTCGCATCATTCACCTAGCAAACTCGCGGTTCCATGAGAGACTAGATAAGAATCAAACATTGACGACGGCGCAGCGCGAAAAGACGCTACCCAAAGATTACTATAGGGGTCTGGCTTTTGCGACTATATTTCTCCTCCGATATTTTAGTCTCAACAATAATGCCAACGCCGAAGAACAACAGTTAGCAGCAAATCATGTCATCATGGCTCATACGATATTCAAAACACTAGCTACACGTCATCGAGATGAATACGACAGGGCTGCTAGTCTATTCGAAACCCTCTGCAAGCAAGCACCCGTCTCTGCCGATACTAGCAGGCCCAATCTTCCGGATCGAATGGGTGTATCTATAGTACTAGACGCAATCGATACAGCCCGCGAGCTACGCGGCTTTCCTATAAATCCTTCGGTACCCGAGATCGCGGTTACTACAGAAGCTCTACCCAGCGAAGACAATATCCCACAAACGGATGTCTTCACTACTAACCCTCAGGTGGAGGAGCCTTGGTCATCGGATCTTATTTTCGCTAACATGTTTTGGGGTGATCCTTCGTGGGATATTTTCAATCTTCCTCCTGACCCATCAGAGTTCCATTCAGGACATGGGTTATAGCGGTGGGTTACAGCGGGGTAGCAATTGTATATAAAGGCATCACATAAAGATTTACATAGACATGATAACTTGAACATAATGATCATAAACTACCTACACATAGATACAAAATATAATACAGTAGTATCAGTACCTCCTCTATATTAACTAAGCCTTAGAAAGGGAAGCAAGTAGTTCTTCCGGCAACTTCAAGTTTACAAGCGGAAGATGTTGCTGAGATCCATGAACGTCATTCTCCATGAATCCTCCACCCGGCATACGCTTGCCAGCCCGAATACGGGGGATTGTGGCTTTAAACGCCTGGGCCGGGTCGAAGAATCCACACCACAATATGTCGCTCTCTGGCAGCTTAAAGACGGAAGCCACCGTTTTGATAGATAGAAGGCCGGAGTCCTTGACCTTAAGATAAGTTTCCCGGGACTCGAAGATGAGGTCAAAGGTGATCTCATACGGACCCGAGTTCTTAGACCTTACAACTTGGGCTAAGTCTCCAAGTTTAGTAGGCTTGGTATATCCGTTTGATTTTGAGCCATTGATAAGTTCAGCCGTTGCGAAGCATTCCTCGCGGTTTGGCTTGACTCCATTTGCAGAGCCGTTAGTAGTCGAGATAGGAGCTTTTGACGATGATCCATCTCCTTTGCCGATTAAAGAGGTAGATTGGGTAAATAGAGGCTTTTGTTGCTTGTGGGTTCCGTTACCGTTTACACCATTGGTAGCAGGAGTTGAGATGCTATCTCCCAGTAGTAAACCCTCCTCGCCTTCTTCAAGGTCCATGAGGTGGTACATGGTAAATCGCGAGCATGGACCCAACTCGATCACAGACTTGCCACCGATACCGAATGCAAAGTTCCCCGAAGTGGCCTTCTGTCCTGGATAACTTCCATGCTAGAAGAAGTTAACAACTGACTGTATGAGATACGGATATTAATTCAACTTACAATAACACCTATTCTAGCGGTGGCTGCAATACTGGTTGCTAATTCTTGCGTAGGGGCCAGTGCCTCACCAATAAGGAATACCTCAGGAGATGCACTCTCTACGCCTTCCTCTGGCTTTCCGTAGATATGGAAATCAAACTCCCACTTTTCAGTCACATGGCTATGCTGTTCAACAGCATACCGTTTGACGAGCTTGAGTAATTCATCGAGTTGGCTAATTAGAATTGCTGCTTCAATATTAGCAAATGAGAAATGAGACTATGCGGAACCATTCAGTGGACTTACGGTCTCGGAAGCTACCCAAGAACAGTGATCGGTACCCAATGATACTGGCGGCCTCTAATTTTACTTGGTACGGACCACTCTCTTTCGAGAAATGGAACTTGCTGCCACGGACTTTGATCGTCCTCTGATCGGGTAGCTGTTCGTAGGTCGCGGAGTTCAGATCGAAATATCCACCCGGACCATGCAAAATATCAGGGCGCGATTTCTCGTACATCGTGTGTGCAGCCACTGACACCGGAGTACAATGGGCCGTCGGCGATAAAGGCGAGATGGTAAAACCTCCGTCCTTATATACTGTTGCAATAGCACCGTGCGACTTTGGCACAGCACATGTCCCTCCACACTCTAGAATCTTGCCCATGTGCGTAAATCCACCCATCTGGCGTTGGACCACGGCCGAGTTCACGTCGTTCGTATCTAATCCGGCCAAATAAGCGCAATAGGCGACGTACGGGGCTGGATCGTAGGCACGACCGCCGACTATAACGTTAAAGTCTGGATTTGCCTTCATCGCGTCGATAAACGGCTCTGGTCCCATCTGCGCGACAACCACTGATGATTCATCGATATCCTCTTCGGTCAAATCCGGAACACATGGCCCGCATCCACGTACGCCTCCTGCCCTGAGGCGTTCCCGGACTGTCTCCTTCTCGATATTGGAAAATATGGCCACTGTCTTCAAGGAATAGTCCTCATTTCCCTTCTCGGCAGCAATTTCTTCGATAACCTTTACAATCTCTCGGACGTGTTCGTCGATTCCGTCTCCTCCCGCCGAGCTGAAAATCAGCGGAACCCGGAACTCATGGACTAACTTAAGCAGCTTCCTCAGGTCCCGAAGGTAAGATGTTCGGGGGCAGCCCATTATTTTCTGGGCAAGCCTGTCTGGACCACTATCGGTCGAGCCGGAGTCTAAGATTAGAGCGGTCGGAATGCCCGTCGCGATAAGATGTCTTAAGGCGACAGCGTTCTCCTCCTCATTAAGGCCATAGCCGAGCATGCCTACTGGGGTAATAATATTGCATAGAGGTGTTGACGCCGCCTCGGCATCATTGAACTGGTTACTGGTTGCGACTGACATTTTGGAAAGTTTCTGACTGGGTTAGGTAGATTTCAGGGATATAAATGAAGGGTATAGAGTATTGGATATTACTTGAGTAGTTGGATAAAACAGATATAAGATAACGTTGACAAATAAAGGGGTAATAAGGTATACGGCTCACTACTTATTCTTATAATACAGAGGCGTGTTACGCTTCGTCCAACCCAAATCTGGACAATTTCCCCATACGTCACCAATAGCAGAGCAGCGATTTAGTCGTGACAACCCGAACCTCGCATTTCATACAGCGCACAGCCACTCCCTATGGCACGCTTCGCTTCCCTCGGCCGCCCGGCAATGTTCTGTCCTTCCGCTGTCGCCGCCTACGCCATGTTGCAGGCCCACTAAGCGAGATTCGCGTCGAGGCCGATATTCGCTATATAAGCCGAAGTTCGCCTTATGACAAACTACACCATTCCAACCACTAAGTGAAGCATTATCAATATACCCAGCGAGTTCCACGAGTCAGATAATAACTTGACCTGACTTGGGCCTGGCCTGACTTAGCCTGGATAGATCCTTTTTTAGGTATATCTACCCGAGTCGAGCGCCAAGTTTTTTTATTTGGTATTTTATACGAATATTTTTAGGGCAATATTATTGGTTATTGGTAAGGGTTTTGGGTGAAATATATTAGGTGGCTGATGTGGCTAAGTGTGGCTTTATAAGGGTATACAGGCCAAGTCGACGATACGGCCGGGTAAGCCCTCAAATCTAATATATCTGACTTGACTCGTATCGAGCCAGGTATATACGATTATCTGACCTGACCTGACTCGTGGAACTCGCTGAATATACCGCCCTCATGCACAGCAACCGTAAAGAACTTGATCTGAACCCTGTTTTCATACACCCTCTCTAGTACTGTCTCATATCTTATTCCATTCATGTGAATAGATGCTCCCTGTTGTATCTAATGGTAGTCGGTGTACACGTAACATGATGAAATCTATTAACTAGCACGAACATCTTATGATAAGTTTAAGGTAGTATGTTGGGCTAGTCAATATTAAAGGCTAAGTAAGTAGTTAAGTTAATACTTAGTTAAAGTCTTAAACTATGACTTTACCATTCAACCCGAAGTCGAAAGACTATTAACTATCGTAGAAGTATAGTGGTTACGTAATCACGCAACTTGAAGAACCACCACAACTACTGCTTCGTATAGTGTGTGTTTAATAATATGTCATCTTCTGCTTTATTAAGCATCTGACAAAGGATTAGATCGTGTCATATGTTTAAACACGGATATTAGCACGAAAGCTATCTTCGGTAGTTTATGACGACGATCGGATCTTGTGATCTTCGTAACGGAATCGGAGTAGATCTTTAAATCCCGATGGCATTTTGGCATTTCAGCATTTCCCCGCGAACATCACTTGATACATCAAATCAAATGTCTAAAGCATAGCATTATATATTCAGAACGCCGTTACCGGAGTATTTCTAACCTTAATAGCAATTATATTGGCCCTGATAAATGCGATTAGTTGTATGAGAAAGCGTTAAGATCTAAGACTTAAGTGTGCTTAACAGTGTTCTTTAAGGTTATAAGTTCGAGCTATATCACCTGGTACATATATTGAGATACCATCTTATAGATACCCGTTTGATCACCTAGTTAATACAGTTAGTCCGCTTAGTATAGCTTTTGAGATTTAATGAGGGTCGGATTCTTATTATATGTTTATTAGGTGCTAAGGAGGTCATATTATTAGGTCGAGAAGGGTACCCGAGTGAGATGAAAAGAGCCCAGCTTCAAGTATATAGGTGTAATAGTAATTTATGACCGCTCAAAGATAGGCGAGGGTTACCCTCTTTGTATAAACTAGTTACCTTTCTCCCGCCAATATCAAGAAATGATACCTATATGGTTCAATCGCTTGCAAGAATATTGTCTCTACTCTAATTATTACAGCTATGCCAGTGCATTCAGCAGAACATACGAGATGGACGCACTCCGAATATAAATTCCACTGAGCACTATGCTTTAATATTAGTATACCTTGGTAAGTACCTAACCTGCCAATCATTGTCATTGTAACCTCATTTTCTGTATTCTCAATCGTAATGTAATAATAGAATTTCAATACCTTATAGCGCATGCTGAGAGCATCTAGTAGGAAAGGTATTTGAAAACGCAATATCTACTTCCTATATACTGGGTGACCTAAGGTACTTAGGTAGGTAACCATTTAACTTTTTAGTATGGCTGATACGAATTTGTTATGATGGTATCATTACGCGTGCTTGACTCTTAAGCTGCTTCTGTTATCTAACGCTCGATGCGGAAAAGATAACTACCTGAAAGTAAACCGTGCTGTAAGGTCTACCTCGGGATTACTTAAGAGCTTAGAGTAGTAAGCCTATAGAAGGTTCATAGCTCTCTAAACAGCAGTAAAGTTATTTTCTCGCTGCTTGCTTGACCGTTTTGGCTTTGAGGTGAAGAGGCTCCGAGGAGCGTAAAAAATCCATTAAAGATCATGACGCATTTTTCTATTATTCTCTAGGTACCTGTTGATTAACATGCTTCACATAGTAGGTTGCCTTAGTACGGATCTCCTACTTTGATATGCTCGGATTGTTCGAGGCAAGTGCAAAATGAAACTTGAGTGTCACGATTATTGAACGCATGTTCAGAGCATGCTACGCCCTGTATCCTACCCTATACCTATCCTGACCAACAAATAGGTAGGTTTTCAAATACTTGACGTAGACTTTAACTTAGTATCATCAATACTGACAAGCAAGGAATATCGTAGGCAAGAGGCAAAAATAAAAGGCTATGGGTGGTGATATCTAAGATCACATTTAATACCAACACTAACATCGTTAGTATGGCAGCGGGAATACAAAAAGAGCTTGTCTCTAATTACGTCCTAGTTTTAGTGTTTTAACTACATGTTAAATATGTTACAACTAGCCCAATAAAAAGCACATACCTACATGGCACACAACTGGATATAGGTGCTCCCAAAAGTATTTTAGGTATATTCTATATTTCCATAGGAGTTGTTTAACTAATATATCTACTAACTGATATGTCTACGTGTCCCTTTAAGTGATTGCTCAAGTATCAATGTCTAACATATAGTGCTGAGCTACGAAGTAAGGGATGGGCGGTATTTGCTCATCTGTATAACATCCAAGCCAGGCGCCAATGTTCTCAGCCACTCAAACATTGAAGGCAGCATCTATTACCGAAAGCAGCCTCGGGCTAGATATCTCGACTATTTGGATACTATAGCCTTAGCTTGCCAGTATCTTAGCTTTGAGTAACTTCAAGGGTATCTTATACTGATCTCGTCATGGAACTCTAACCAATTAATCACTTCCCCGGCACCTCTTCCTCATCGGATACGTCTTCTCCTGCTTCAATGGCTTTCTGTCTCTTCTTCGCTTGTCGTTCCTTTTTCTTCTCTAATAATTTGGCTAGCGTCTTCGCAGTATTGAAAACACCTCCTGTACCCGCGCCGCAGGCAGCACAGCTCGGATCTTTTCTATACCTCTGTAATGCGCACGGCAAGCAGAAGTAGTGTTGACATCTAGTCACAATAGGCTCTTTATACGGCCCCTTGCAGATGATACAGGCGAACGGTATTTTTTCGAGTAAAGCTTCTTCGGCTGCGTCAACGTCACCTTCGTCGGCATTTGCGCCGCGATTGGCGCTGGCCATTACTTTTCCGCCCAGGTTCTTCTTCCCTCTGTTTACGTTTTCCCACTCCTTATCCAGCTGCCAGCCTTGTTTATAGTCCTCACGAGCATGGAGGAACTTGCAGTTATCCCCGAAACCACAGAAGCCTGTCTGCTTGTAGTCTTTGCATACATCAGGCGCGAAGTCGGTGACTGTGATGGTCCTGATGTTGGTGGCAGCCTTGATAGGCCCGACCGTCCGATTGGGCGCGTTCGGATTCTTCTGTATGAATTTGGTCTGGTTGGCGAGACCTTTGTAGGTCCCATCGGGTTGTATGGAAGGGTCTGCTACTGCATCTTTGGATTTGGGAAGAGGTCGCGTCTTTCCTAGTAGGTTTGCGTCCTCATCAAACCAATTTGTCTGTTTTGTAGCATCGTTTGTACTTGTGATAGGTACACTACGATCAGCTTCGAAGATGGTGGCGCCGTGATTTCGGTCGGTTCGTGTTACGTTATCCTTGGATGAAGCTGTCACTACGGCGGTATTCTTCTTGCGTCGCTTGACTCGTTGTCCTGATTCGTCTTCGGATGATGTGTAATCGTCACTGTCGCTGTTGGCAGGCGGCGGTGTCGCTGGGCGTTTTCGGATATTGGCTTTCCCCTTTGCGCCTCGTTTTTTGAAGATGGCAACTGGAGCGATAGGAGCGTCTGTCGCTGCTGGAATACTCGGCGTATTGTCGTCGGCCATTGTATAATATCAATTCGTGGGGTTTGTACTGAAAAGATTTTATAATGCAGCGATGAGGGCTGAATGTTGATTTGGTTGATATTGAGGAAATGGGTAAGTTTTGCGTCATGTAGCTTCAATGTAATGTTTTCTAATCAAAAGCTTCTAGAAACACTGAGCCTTATCGTACGGGCTATCAACAGCAATCGTCAAGATTTAGCGTACGAATGTTCCAGGTACATAGGTACCTACAGCATATTACCTGAGCTAGGCTTTATTGGTCGAAATGTTCTTACAGTGCGACCGTAATGTACCCAGTAGATTGTGTCTTCAGGTCTCAGCCTTGTATTGTTTCGACTAGCGGGAGTTAAAATTAGCAGGGTACCCCTCCGGCGGTGGGGAGCTCTAAGATTGGGTTCTCCTCAATCCTTCATGCGTAACACGCGTAACACAATAATTTCCTGTGATCCAATGGTTTCCTGCCTCGATCCAGCAGATAAGGCTGCCGGCGAGTTGTATGACGTGTTTTGAGATCGAGCTTTACCGGGTTCCAGCTTGATATGTTGATAATTTGGGAGAGCATGGATTGATATTTTACAGGCAGAAGATTAGAAAAATATATGTACCTATGTACCTTCTAATATCATGCATGTGTAATCTGAGTTGGCGATAGGGATTACTTGTACTGCATCAGTACCTGAAGTATTTAGGTACATATGTATATTGTATCATCTGAAGTGTCAGCCGTACATTTCAGTAACAGGCGCACTTTAAGCACTAGCGGCCCGCCACGTGTTAGAAGCTAATACTTAATATTTTCACACTGTCTGCGGGATATTGCATTGATCCCTACCGTAGCTCATCCACACTTTGTTGCCGCAAATGCACAAGCCATTCAATTGTTTAATACAGGTATGTAATACAGATTTTCCGTTCTTCCTATCTTCAACATCGGCATCTTTGTTGACTCTTGTCCCCCCTTTCCCTCCCTTCCCTCTGTTGTTTCTCCCGGCCTCCCTTCTTTCCGTCCGGGTCCGTCTTATTATTTGTGAGACAGCTCTTAGCCAATTTAGGAATCCGACCGTTTCTTAGACGGATTTTCCAAGTCTCCAAATTCTCAGCCTCCGGATCCCGTTTGGAGCTCATTTGTTTCTTCTTGAGCAGGACGCGTCGTCTTACACGGCACCGGTCAACCGCATGCTCGCGCCGTACCTGCATTCTACCTAACAAACCTACACACTCATTTAGTCACTTATCTCGTCATTCGCTCATCTGCTGTACACTCTTCTAATTGTATCACCTGAATTTTCCCCATTTTTTTAAACAGAAACCAAATTACCCGCGACACCTTTTTGTTTCTTTTTTTCCTTCTCGTAGGGACCTTGTTCTGTCTAATCAATTGTTAATACCTACCATCGTTACCTTACGTTACCTTTAATCCCGACTTTTTAACAAAACGACCGATTTCGTCTTGCTTTTTTCCGACAATCACCTGCAGTCGACAACATCATCTCGATTATCCTAGACGGGTTAAGGACAGGACAGGACAGGCCAGCACAAATTTGAATAATCCAACGTACTTTAGGTACCTGTCTTAAAACCTTAGGACGTGCTAATTTTTCTTCCTGGGCGGGCACCTGCGTCGCGTGTTTCCTGTGCAACAATTTGTTTAGGTTGTGCCTTCGCGTTGTGCAGTCGCAATTGCACCTGCATGTTTTCGACCCGCGCACTGTACTTCGTACCTCATAACATTGGATTGGTGGAATCGACCTGTCAAAACTTCAAACTCGGACAGACACCGCGTCCTTGAGTTTATAATTCTACCAGTAACATTTGCACTACCCCTGTTACTAAGAATTCCAGCGCATTCGAATTGGCCTGAGACTTTGATCGAGGAACGTCATCCGAGGCATTCAATTCCGATTGACAGCAAATCAATAGAAAACTTTTTGGCCATTAGCTGTTCTGTTTGCCATATTTTTCGCCGTCATCAGGATCATCCAAGTCATCTCACGTCAAAAGTTGGGCGCTGTCAAAGTCCACGCCACACTGTTCGAATCTTAATTGGACGTGTGCTTTACTCGCTGGGCCTTCAGTCTACCACTCAATCCCTTTTGACTCATTAGGCTGCATCACTTTGGCTCTTGGCCCAGGGGCAGTATTCGTTAGCTCCCGCCACGTCAAAAACATCCTCTACTTACCAGATTTTCGCAATTCACGTGCGGCCTTCGCGTCTTTATCAGGCTGCATGCCGCAATTTTAATCCAAGGGGAAATCGCCTTCTCCTTGGACACCTGCAATCGGCAGCGTGATGGCTTCCTTTGGTAATAGAGGCGGGGCTTCGTCGCCTTCGCCTGCCATTGATTCCCGACATGATCCTTTCGTAGTAGCGGCATCACCTCCAAGTGCGAGTCGTCACCGATTGTCCACTAACGACTCTCAACTTTTTTCGCTAAGTCCCAATGCTTCGCCGACGCAGGCGAAGCGTGCATTGGAGGCTCATCTAGCCGAGACGGATCGAAGAATGGAAGAAGCTGGGAAACTAGGCACAGCTTTGCTGCAACAGCGTAAGGAGCTAAGTCAAAGATTAATGGAAGTTGAGAAGCAGCAGGCTGAAGGAGAACTTTCCGATGATCTGCGACAAAGACTGGCTGAGATTGAAAAGGATTATAATGATGTCGCCAGGGAAAGCGCACGTGCATTTTTACCAAAGCAGAGGATCCCTAGTAATGAAGCCGCTGCTGGATCGCCATTCGCGCCGGAAAGCAAAGGAGGCAGAGTAAGATTTTCTATTATGAAACTCAGTGAGTATCAGTCAATTAATTGTTCATGCAGCGTTCTGTGAGCCCTTCCAAGTTTGAAGACCAGGCAACTGCATCTCCAACCAAATTCAGTGTTCCCAACCGAAAAGTCCGAAATCAACCTGCCAATCGAATCCACGACATCGAGTTTGCGGCGGAAATCAGCACATCTCTAATTGCTCAGGTGCGCAATTTGCAAGGCCTGCTTGCCGAGAAGGAAGAAGAGTTGAAGGAGATCAGAGTTGAGAAATCTAAGCTTGAATACGAAGCAGAGGGTTTCCAACAGCGAGTCAAGACTTTGGATGAGAGTGAGCATCGTTACAAGGATGAGAACTGGAGTCTCGAGACTCAGGTCCATGACCTCCTTGCTAAGGAGAGAGAGGCCGAGGATCGGTACAAAAAGTTGCAGCAGACCCTAACTGTTCTTCAAGCCGAGAAGAATTCCACCCAAAAGGAATTGGATGAGGTCAAACTGAATCACTCAAGACTTAGCGAGGAGTATGCTGCGGCAGTCAAGCATCACGACATAGAACTTGGTTCTGCAAAACGAAATATAGTCATCGCCGACACCGAACGAGTGGCCCTACGCAGGAAGATAGATGAATTGACCGGACAGAATCAAGAGCTCGCCAAAGCAGTGTCCGCTTCACAGAGAGCGAGAGTGATCGAGCGCGAATCAGTGCTTGGTATGAACCAAGAAGATTCCGAATCCGCGCAGGACAAGACGACGCCGGAACACTCACCTCCTCCTTCGCCCGTGAAAGGAACACCGCGACACTCTTTGTTAGAGTCAGAAACGCTCAAGACATCTTTAGGCCATGCTCATCGCACAATTCAGGGACTAAGGAGCAATGTGCATAGGGAGAAGACTGAAAAACTTGAACTCAGGCGCATGCTACAAGAAGCTCGCGATGAACTGGAGAAATTACGAAACGAGCCCCCGCCGCCACCTAAGCGCATACGTAAAGCCGAGGTGAAAGAACAAAGAAAGCCGTTGCGACTACTGGGAGGTCTGCGTACTGTTCGAAGCGAGGTTTTTTCTGAAGACTCGAATTGGGAGGATCAGCCCGATTCTACAAGCCCAGCTACTTCGACACTAGCTTCGCGATCCAGTAAGTTTGAATCCGTAGCGGAAGAGCCATATGAGGTGTTTGAAACGGCCAACGAGACAAGCGACGCTGCGTTCGAAACCGCGAATGAGCCGGCGACTGAGACGGACGATTTCCACACGGGTGCCGAAGAATTTTCGAGCGACGATGATGCCGAGACTGAAACCGAAAGCCCTTCGAGGCGCCGTACGCCTAGAAATAGCATATCTGGCTTCCAGGGTCGTCCACGGAGTGGGTCTATGCATAGTACAGCCTCAACCGAGGATGAAGATTTTCCCTTTGGCTACGATGCGGGAGCGCCTGTCACCTTACCGCCCTTACAGGCCAAATTCCCCCTCCGAGTTAGTCGCGGTGCTTACCGTCGTTCGAGACAGCCTAGTGAGGAGCCCGCTTTCCTCAGCAGTCCCCAAAGTATTGCAAGCAGCAGTGTAGCAGGCACTCCTCAGCAACCTATCAAAAATCTGGCTGCTGAACTGGGCGAGTTCGACGGCAGTGACAATGAATCGTATCTATCTGCAACTCCTAGCAGGAGGTCCATTAGGGGCCGGACCGTATCGCCTCCACCACCGGTTCCTTCTCTGCCGAGGGCTATCATGGTGGATTGTAGTACGATGACAGATGAGCTGCCAGACACGCATACTCATGCCGCCGATTTAGCAGCTCTTCAAGCCGAACATGAAAAGGCTCTCAAGGAAATCAGCGATGAAAAGGCATTTGCGTACGCAACGGCTTTGGATGAGCTGAAGAGCAAGCATGAAGAGCAACTGAGCAAGATGCAGCATGAAGTCAGCCTCGCTCATACACATGAGCTTGAAACTTTGAAATCAAGTCATACGGATGAGATCAATAAGTCAATCATGGAGGTTAAAGCTGTGCATGGACAGGAACTCGAGGCTTTAAGGTCAAGTCATGCGGATGAGCTGGCGAAGACTCTTGCTGATGCCCAGAGTACCTACGCTAAAGAGCTTGAGGCGCTAAAGTCTAATCATGCCAAGGAGATTAACGAGGCTATTGCTGAGACGAATGCGGCTCACTCTCGAGAACTGGAAGCTCTCAAGTCCAGTCATGTTGACGAGATAAGTAAAGCTGTCTCTCACACTCAAAATACTCATTCTCGCGAATTGGAGATGCTCAAGTCTAGCCACGCCGAGGAGATTGGCAGAGCTCTTGCCGATCTCCGTGCATCTCACACACAGCAACTTGAGGAGCTTCGATCAAGCTATGCCGATCAAGCCGCTAAGGAAGCAGCTGAAGGCCAAACTACCCATGCTCAAGAAATCGATGCCTTGAAGGCTTCTTTTGCCAGCGAGGCATCCCAGAAAGACCTGGAAAGCAGGGCGGCCCATAACGCTGAAATAGAAGCTCTCAAATCTTCTCATTTTGAGCAGATGATGGCAAGAGAGGCCGAGATCATAGCTACACATGCTAATGAATTGGACAACCTGAAAGCTAAGCATGCTGATGAGTTGAAGAATATGAAGCTCGAGAATGACAACCGCCACGCAGCAGAAATCGCTACTTTGGTTGCTGCACATTCAAGCCAGATCAATCAGTTGAAGAATGAACTATTCGACGCGCATTCGAAGCAAGTACAGACCCTCCAAACCGAATACGCCGAGCAACTTGAGAAAGCGAAGCAGCAATCCGATGCAACCCATTCGGAAGAGCTTGCATCATTGAAGGCAGCCCATTTAGCACAACTAGAAGAAGTAAAGAATGCATTAGTGGCGGCTCACGGCAAAGAATTGGATCTCGTCAAGGCAGCGCATACGAAGCACGTCGAAGACCTCAAGGATGCTGCTGACGCCCAACGCGGTGCAGAAATTGCCTTGCTTGTAGCATCTCATGAGAAGCAAATTGATTCAATTAGGGCTGAGAGTCAAGCGACATTGGTGAAAGAACTCGCAGCTCTAAAGGAAGTTCATGCACAGGAGATCGACAATCTAAACAGTCAACATGCTGCTACTCGTACTAGGGAGCTAGAAACCTTCAAGGCAGCTATCGACAAGCAAGTCGAGTCATCCAAGACCGAAGGCGATGCGGCGCACTCTCAACAGATCGAAGCCCTCAATGCTGCCCATGCGGAGGTTCTTGAAGCTCAAAGACGCGATAGCGAAAAGTCTCAGTCACAAGCCTTGGAGTCCCTAAAGGCTTCGCACGAAAGGAATATCGAGGCTCTGATAAGTGAAAATGCAACCGCAAGGTCAAAAGAGTTGGAAGATGTTACTTCGGGTCATCTGAAGGAGTTGGATGTATTGAGGCAAGAACTCGAGTCTTCTAAGACCAAAGCTCTTGAAGATCTTGCCGCTACTCATTCGCAGCAGTTGGAGAACCTTCGCCAGGGTCACCTCGACCAATTGGCAGCGTTGAATTCTCAGCACGAGTCCGCTAAGGCCAAGCTCGAAGAAGAACTTGCTGGCGCACATTCAGAGGAACTTGTCGAGCTTCGTCGAAACCTTGAATCATCTAAGGCTTCCGAAATAGCCGCGCTAAGTGACAGTCACGCAAAGGCCTTAGACATACTCAAGATAGAGCATGAAACAGCGGAGTCCCAAAAACTACAGGAGCTGACCGATGTCCACTCTCAAATGTTAGAAAATGTCAAGACTGAGCGTGATGCGACTGAGGCACGGAAGTTGCAAGAATTGACAAACGCTCATTTGCATGAATTGGAAAATCTTCGTCAGACCAGTGATCATGCGAAGTCCGAAGCATTGTCAGCCTTAGCGGCAACTCACGCAGATGAGATGGAAAGACTCAAGGAGGTTCATGGTGATATGCAATCCCAAAAGTTGCAAGAGTTCGCAGAAAGTCATGCCCGCGAGTTGGAGAATCTTCGAAATGAAAGCGACAGTGAGAAATCTAAAGCATTAGCAGCCTTAGCGGCAACTCATGCGGCTGAGTTGGAATCACTAAAACACGAGAACGAAGCAACACGCATGCAAGAATTAGAAGAGCTCAAGGCTGCACATATTAAAGCACTGGAGATCCAACATGCTGAGCATCAATCTACTCTAGGCAATGCACTGGAGACTCTCAAGAACGACCATGTCAATGAGCTTGAGCAACTTAAGAAGCAACATGACGCCGCCCAGGCCGAAGCTCTTGAAGCTCTTCGCGCAAGTCACTCCCTAGAGTTGACTCGGTTCAAGAACGATGCCGACGCTGCACTCACTAGAGAACTAGCGGCTCTCAACGCTGATCATGCAAGCGCCCTTGAGTTGTACCAGAATGACAACGCTGCAGAAAAAGAGAAACTTTTGGCCGATCACGCCGCAGAACTCGAAGCTTTACGAATTTCTCTCCAAACCACACCTCCTAGCCTGGGTTTCTCCACAATCAACTCAACCGAAACCGAACCGGTTGAAATATCCGAACTCAGAAGCCCTAAACGCGACGCGTTTATCATTCCCCATGAAGATCGCTCGGCACATACATCATCTGATACTGGACTCGGACTGCTTGGGCGCAGAGGTGAGAGAGCTTCAACACCAGAGATTGCAGAAGACGATACTCGTCAGTCTCCAAGTGCCACACCTGCTCCCGAGACGCCAGAATCAAAGAGACCGTTTAAAGAGTTATCTGCCAACACAAACGTTCGTCCTTCGCAGAAGCCAGCATTCCATACTTCCAACCAAGGTTGTCAGACTACTCTGACTTCAGACGGGCTCGATCAATTACTGAAGCAGCAAGGCTACGTATCTCCCGACTCGTTCACAATCACCACTTCTCGAGGTGAGGTTATCGTAACACCCTTCGATGAAGCAGAGGCAAGGCAGAGAGTTGGTGATTCTGGCGTTATTTCCGCCACAGACCCAGTGGCCGCGCGGCAAATAGACAGTCCAGCCAGTGCTCAAGCTTCTGCTTCACCTAGGTTACCTTTACCTCTTAATCATCGAGAAGCAATCGAAGCCGCACGTACCCACTCATCCAGCGGTGGTAAGGGGCCAATGGGACCTCCAGCACTCCCTGCATCCGCATACAATAATTCAGGCTCGAGACCGGAAACACCAAGTAGCAGACGTCCATTGTCCCCAAGCTCCATTGTCAAAGGCACACCAACACCCAAAGCGGGCCGAAGTTCAACCCCAGGTTACGCAGATGTCCACTCCGTGCCAAGGATGCTCCTTCGCAGCAGGCAGTCATCCGTGTCGTCCTTTGCATCCGAGATCGATACAAGATTCAATATCCGTGGTGAAATGGGTATGGATCCTTCGGCTTTTGGTCCTAGTACCGATCCTCGCATGATCCAAGCCATCACACAGACCATGATCGGTGAGTATCTTTGGAAGTACACGCGCAAGACTGGTCGCGGAGAAATGTCCGAGAACAGACATAGGCGATATTTCTGGGTACATCCCTACACTAGGACATTATACTGGAGTGATCGTGACCCGGCTACCGGCGGCCGAACCGAATTAAAGGCAAAGAGTATTCCAATCGAGGCTGTACGCATAGTCGGTGATGACAACCCAATGCCGCCCGGGCTTCACAGAAAGAGTCTAATTATCGTTTCTCCCGGCCGGACGGTAAAGTTCACATGCACTACTGGTCAGCGACATGAGACTTGGTTCAATGCACTGTCGTACCTCCTACTTCGGACAGGTGATGAAAGTCAGGCGGATGCCGAAGACGTGGCCGGCCAAATCACGCAAGAAGATGTTGACGAGTTCAATCCTTCAATTAATCGACGACCAGCTAACGGCAACCGCCCGCGACCTCCTCCATCCTTGTCTTCATACAATTCAGGGGCTACACGTGCTGGTTCACCACGGGTGGAAGTGTCTATGAGTATCCCGACACTTACTCCCACACGTGAGAGAGAAGCCTCTCGAAGTGGGACTCTAGGAAGATTGAGCGGGTATTGGAAATCTAGTTCGATAAATAGCACGTTTAGTAGCCTGAGAAGCAAAACCCATATCCCTCAAGAGGGCGCTATATATGAAGCAAGCGAGGTCCCCGACAGCGCTGAGGATCTAAGGCAAATAATCGAGGAACAGGACCGAGCGTCTGACAGGCTCGAGAATGTCAGGGCTTGCTGTGATGGTAAGTTTAACGAAGTGTTCCTATCAGGTTGCATGTACTAACTTGAGCGCAGGGAAACATGATGTTGGAACCTTGGCACACACCAAGCGTGGACGCATCCATACCTCGCATTCACAAACCCATTCACACACACACCCTGGGCCGTCAACGACACCGACACCTGGGAGTACCTCTGTACGGAACTCGCGCGTCACCACGTAACTTGGTAAATACCTACAATTGCAGCAACACCAAGCTTAGACCTATTCTAGTCGATCACTCAATATAGCATTTTGCACCGTCTCATTCCGTTTTCCTCGCTACGAAGACCAGTCATGGATTTTCACGACGCTTACGACTTGCATTTTCCTTTCCGCATCCTCTAATTCGCATCCATTCACAGAGCTCTATGCCGCACCGACCCACCGTGGTCGGGGCTACGATTGCATTCCACTGCGTTAAAATTGTGCCAACATACCCAAAACTATTTCTCGGAATCATTCTGGAGTTAGGAGAACAAAGGACCGTTTCACGCACCGTCAAATTAGTCGGATACAGATACTCGATATGGTCGGTAAGCCCATAGGGGAGGAAGTCAAGGAGGTAGTTAAATTTTACGAGACTCCGCCTATAGGAGGCAATGTTCCTTTGCCAGGTGTAGGTCTCTACCCGGCCTAAGTTTCGCTGTACGGTACTCTTTTATCTTGAATGTTCTTAGGTGGATTGGTCAAAGGGAGGGCATTATTGCATGCTGTCGTTAGAGTATTGGCATTACAACTGTTGAATGAGATTGTTTTTTATTATTCCCGGTGTCCAAACTACAGAAATGAGTTATGCCCCAACTGGCTTTATTCGAGCTCGGTCTGCTGAAGGTAGGGTGGTATGTCCGTAAAGTTGCCATGTTACGGAGACTTCAATATATCCGATAACACCGATATTACCGGAGGTAATTTGTAATCCGGTCTCGACATAATATCAGTAATCGTTCCCAATAGTAACATCGGATGTTGCGTGCCATTTGCACATCGTCATACTGTGACCCATCCTGATCAAGCGAGAGAAATAAGACAGGCATTACTTAAGTCGTTGATTTAAATCGATACTCCCTTTTCAGGGGATTAATCGGGCTTTACTGGTATCGGTCCGAAACTGCGAGGAGATGGAAGGCCGAGCTACATTATTCACTACACGATTTATACATGCCGAGTCTGCTATTCTGAGAATATTATCAGGAAAGGCGATATATTGTTTCATTCGATTTCAGCTATACGTTCAACGACCAGACAAGCGTATACTCCGTGATATATGAAAATTGATGATCCATTACTTGTCTCGGTCTGGACACTTGATTTGAATCGCCATTCGCTCTTCGGAGATAAAGTGTAGTAGTATTAACCTGGGCGAACTAGGCACCTGCGTCAATGGTTAGGTAGTTGGCGAATACGAGCAGTATAGGTACCTCCTAGTTGGTTGGAGTTAGGTGGTAAGTAGTATATCCGAACATTATTAGAATATAAAAGTAACAATGGTCGTTACGCACAAGTAAAGCCAATAGATCTTTACCGAGACATCTAAGATATCCATACCCAAGACTCATACGAAACCTCATAAGCAAACTAGCTCCAGTCATAATTATCAACCATGGCATCGGATAAGAAGGTTATTTTGATCACAGGTGGTAAGATAGCATCCCCTATTCTTCAGTAGATATATTTATAATCCGTATCAGGTAACACTGGCCTCGGCTTCGAAATTGCGAAAGCATTGTACCAGTCTGAAATTCCTTACGAGGTCATCATCGGAACCCGGAAAGTGTCCAAGGGCGAGGACGCCATCGCAGCACTGCGCAAGGAAATCCCGCAGTCTGCCTCCTCGCTCAGCCTTGTACAAGTAGACCTCAACTCCGATGCGTCACTTGAGAAGGCCATCGAGTCCATCAGCTCGCAGCATGGAAGACTAGACTCACTAGTCAATAATGGCGGCGGCAGCTTCGACTCGGATATACAGGAAGGCAAAATGACGCTACGCGAGGGATTCAACGCTACCTGGGACCTCAATGTATCTGGCACCCACGTGCTTACCTCGCTCGCGGTTCCTCTGCTACTCAAGTCTGCTGACCCTCGCATCGTGTTTATCACCAGCGGCACAAGCACACTCACAGAGACCGAGATTACAAATCATCCTAACCTTGCGCGCCTCAACGCTAACCCGCCCGCCGGATGGCCGAAGCCGAAGGTCGGGTTGGCTCTGACGGCGTATCGTTCCACGAAAACGGGTCTGAATAGTAAGTGCTGTCAAATTTCTTTCTTCCCCGCCTATTTAGGTAGGGACTCTCATCAGTTATTACTTGGTGAATGTTCCTCTCTACTCCGGGAAGTTGTTACTAATATATGTTCATGCAGTGTTGATGCGCGAATGGCATCGCATTCTCAAGAATGACGGCGTCAAGGTATGGGCTGTATCCCCTGGATTCCTTGCTACGGGGTTAGGAGGGGTCGGCTCCGAGAGCTTAAAGAAGGCAAGTCGCTTACCACAGGAGCTCTATGGCTCTTTATTGAGTTGAACTTGGTGTGCATCTCGTGTTGCTAACTGTTGTCATAGATGGGTGCGCGTGATCCATCTGTCGGTGGTCAGTTCGTCAGGGACGTTCTACAGGGGAAGCGGGACGAAGATGCTGGGAAGGCTATTAGATCAGGTACTATCCAGCCTTGGTAGATGGCAGATTCAAGATATTATATAGGCACCTTATGTTCCTAGGCCATGTAGGTGGCTAATTCCCAAAACTAGCCCGCCACCTTTAGTAGTAAAAGAAAACACATTATTTAACCTCCTGAATTTGGCGCCCCTTTTATATATAATAGGTAATAGTTTTAGTTGTAGTCAATAAATGAAATAATATCGGATATCTTGTTGCTTGTTTGATGAACTCGGTTTTTAGGCTATTTCCATTCCTAGAGCAATCAAGGAATGTTTAAGTAGCCATTTCTTTTGTACGTCCTGACGCGATGGGAGGCCAAGTATTTATAATATTTTCAGCTCAACATTTGGACTAAGATTAAAATTGAATAGTAAGAACTTAGTCAATAGATTAGACGTCCACGCCACTTGCATAGCATCCGCTCGTTACCTGTAGAAGCTTATCGTTTAAATAATAGTCTATAACTTATTTCTTGAGCAATGTTACGTCTTACGGTTGATATGTAAGTCACGATATTATACGATAGTTGCTTACCTACCTACCTCCTAGGTACCTCCTAGGTAAGTTTGTCCAACACCTCCACTTACAAATAAGGTATACTTAAGTTTAGGAGAGTGTAAGTGCTTCTGCTATTGCACTTAAGTATATTATATTTTATTATAGCCTTTTTATTTATTGCTTTTCTTTGTTTTGGCTGTCGAAAATGGAGCTCCACACCAGCTAAATTCAGATTTCATCACAGCCTATTCTCTCCTTATCATATAACTTAGGAAATGAAACAAAGGTTACGCTTTGCATAGACTTCAATTGTAAACATACTGTTTAGGAAAATTATAGCCTAATCACATGAGATAATAAAGGGCGGTGATATATCTCAGGAAATATAGCCTAGTAACTTAGGGGTAACACTCTTAGAATACAAAGAGAAAGGTTCCAGGATTGATTGTTCTTGAATAAGAACTTGTTCCTAAACATGCCTAATGATTCTAGAACAATACGACTCAAGCATTACTTATATAAGGTCATCGAAACTGTTGCTCTTTTGACAATTTGATAAATCGTCGAACCAAAGCCGCCAAACTTCGCTCCAGCCGCCGAAACTTTTATTAAGATACTAGCTAACGCCGAGTATCTGTCAAAAAGGCCAATATGTGTACCGAATCATTTGCTATTTACCCATGTTCTCACAAACGGTCAACATGGGAGTATTGTAGCAAGGCAAAGGCTAAAAACATCCTTAAGCGAGGGCCACCTATTCCTTGCGACGGGCACAAGAGTACACAAATCCCACCCGACCTTGAGGAGAGTTGTGGTTTGATGTGTCTGGCCAGACCATTCCAGTGTAGTAACTGCGGTGCCTCCAAACAAGTCGGATGGATCTGCTCACGGTGTAAGTGTATGCGAGACCCCGACACGAAAGTGTTCATTGAGTGCGGGTGTCGCAAGCACAACTGCCTCAAGCTTACTCATGGAAAGCTTGGTAGTGCACTCTGTAATACGTGCCAAAGGGAATGTGATCCGGTCTCGCAGGCAGATTCTTATCTACAGCCTCGTAGGACCATGCCAATACTCCACTGGCGTTGCCATAAGTGCTTTCACATGCTTTCCACACCTGGTACCGCTATGAAATGCGATGGACCTCGTGGTTGCGGGCATCGCCGATGTGGTCATTGTAGCCCGCTGTTCCAGTGCAGCTGTAAGTGCGGTTGTACGTATCATTTTGTCAAAGGGGGTGTCAAACCATGCGATTTATGTATTAAATGCTGTCTCACCAAGGAAAATTAACGTAAACCGCGTAGATCCCTAGAGTAGATCCACGGTGTAGGATGGAATGACTACGTGCTTCCCAGCCTTAGAACATCATATAGTCCCAGGCCACCTTGACAACATTCGCTAAGTTGGCTCCTGGCAGGGAGTCAGGAAAAGAATCGACTATCTTGAGAATAGCCTTAGGCTAACGTTTGCCACTGATAATTCTGACACACGTACTCCTAACCGTTTACTGAGACTATCGTTTGTCAACGGGGTTTATTATAAAGGCAAATAGGTAGTTAGAGAATAAATCCATGTTATACCTTGACCCTTGGGTATTCAAACCACAAACTTGCATATTAGATTATCTTGTGTATTGAGGGATAAAAGGCGCACGCATGAACTCTGAAGATTTATCAAGATAGTACTCTTCTCGTTTCTTTGTTCAAGCCTTATAAATATCAATCGAAGGTGTTATTCTCATTACCTAGTATGATTGGAGGAATTGTGAATGGAATCTTCTTTGTTAAAATTAAAAATAGGCATGTAAGAAGTTGAATTTAACTTTTAAATACTTGATTTGTTCCGAGAAATAGCAGGGCTATCCATATATGCAGAAAACTTACTGAGTCGTGTCTCTCCAAAAGATGTTGAAGACAATATCATTCGACTATCACGGGCGGCTCCAATAGTAGATCCCTGTATATTAGTGGAAGACACAAAATACCTAGTCGCACATCTAGATAAGGCGTCAAGAGCATTGGGCTGAGGTGGAGCAGCATGTGTCTTGGTCGGAGTTCGTGGCGGACTCCGAAATCGCTAGGATAATGCGAAACGATCTAAAATTTAGACCTTGCGGTTAAATTCGAGAGCTATTCGAAGTGACATGCGGCGAGATGGACGGTAATTTTTGTTCGTATTTAGACATAAGAGCATCCTTGGGCTTTGAACGAGCTTACACCTAGAGCTTGGTCCACGAGCCGATTTGCTCTTTGGGAGAAGTGTTGGCCGCTATTCTGATATGTAAAATGCTTGCAAAACTCCTAAGGCTATATTTCTTCTATAATGCGAGAAGTGAGGACATCGAAAGTTAACATCATGTTGCTAAGAAATCTTCCCATGTGCGTATCCAAGTTTGGGTAAGTGGTATGTAAAAGTCTAACTTATTTGGCGAACCCAGTATTTCGGCTACGTTCCCCGAGCATGAGGCTAGCAGGCATAGTTGGGATTTGGGGAATAAATGATGTACAGCGTCAGGGGGTGAACAGCCCCTGACCAGTGTTGTATTTGCATTTTTTTTTTAGCTTGCCCAGCCACCACCACCTTCGCTCGGCTCTTCCCCGACCTGCCAGACTAACAGACTGGCAGAGGACGAACGCTGATGAAAAGTTTTTCTTTCATGCGTTGGGATGACCTAAGATTGCTAGAATCTACCTACCTCTTATAGACCGCCTCTAGCGGTAAGAAGAGCATGTTGGGTTCCAATCAGCGTTTGCGAAGAACCAACAGCATGTATAGAAGTCAGCGCGCGTTGCCGTATTCCACCATTATATAGAGGTAGGATTCATCATCGTCTCCACACCTATGATGACTTCTATGATCCTCGATGGCGTAAATATGAGTAGCAGAATACCTTGTAGATCCTTTCGCCCCCGGGCCCCGACACTACGGACCGAACAAGGGTGCCGTCTCTATTCTCTATCTTATGCTGCTTCGGTGGTATTCAGTTGCGCCAGTACATATACTAATAAGACTAGTAGTTAGCCTTGAGAACGGTCCTCTTAAGTTGAGGGTGGAGGTGAATTCGACTAGGCTCGACCAAAATTAGTCAGAATAGCTCGAGTTTACATAACGCCGTTAATAACTTTAGCTCGTTCTTATTCATGCGTAGAGTCCTGGGGTTATGAATAAGTGAGGTAGGTATTTATCTCACCATCTTACTCCAAGCCTTCTACGTCTGGATCCGGTATTGTTTTTCAACTGCTCAACATACATCCTCGCTCCCAGGAACGTGGCACTGCGTTCCTTTACCAATATAATGTATTCATAATAATTAGGCTGCGTTGGAGCAACTGCTTCCCGAAAACATGACACGATGCGGTACGATTTGTACGAAGCCCAGGATGTCGGTTATGCGTGCGCGGCATTGTCGGTTGCCATCTTAGTCAGTCGAGTAATCGTATCTCGATGGCGACGCGAGCCTATCGACCTCAGTTTCGTCTTCGTCGTACTTTCGATACTGATGATTATTGGGAGGGTCATCGCCAACAACTTTTATCTGAGATTTGGAACGACCAACGAAGTTTTGCACGACCCGCACCTCTCTGATTATTACGATACAAGTCGCTTAAAAACTGGCAGCATTCTTGTCTTGTTGGCTAGAGTTCTTTTTACAGCAGCACTGTGGTTTCAGATTTGCCTTCTGCTCTTGTTCTATTCAAGAATAACCTCGGGAATAACATGGGCAGATCGTCTTACCAAGACAGCTTGGGTCACCGTGGTCGTAACCTTCGTCGCCATTGTGCTAGCAACATTCCTTGAATGCCGTCCGATCAGCTTATACTGGCAAATTAACCCCAACCCAGGGCACTGTGTGCGAGCCTACGTCCAGTTGCTTATCCAGGGAATAGCCAACATCGTCATCGACCTATTGCTCCTCTTCATCGCGTACCCCTTAATTTGCCTAAGGAAACGGACTTTAACAGAATATATTTCCCTCTACTCCTTATTTGCGCTTGGCACATTGTGTATTGCTATCACCATAATCAGGGTAGTCCTGGTATTTAACGAGGACTCGTCTCAAACTACGCGGAGTTTATGGGCGTCGGTTCAGATGTTTGTCTCGTGTTTCGTTGCAAATGCACCGACCATCTACGGCTCTCTGCGTGTTGCTCGACGGAAGAGGTCTGGACATAGAAGTACACCTGGTCATTCCAGTGTTGAGCCGCTAAGTCAGCCCTCGCGTCTAGAAGGGGACTCTTGGATAAAAATGGACGAGGAGATCGCCCTTGCAACGACTGCGCCCGGCGTACAATATAATCCGACACTACCATTTACTACAGCGATATTCAATAACGATGATATTTATCCAACGACACGATCTCGTCCGTGATTCCTTACCTTAGGTACTTAGCTCTTCTACGCCAGATGAGCCTCGACATCAACCCATCAGATACTTATTGGAACCATCTGTATGAATATAGTACCTATACGCGCCTTAAAGACGGCGTTATGGTGGGGGAAAAGGTCCATGAACTAGGGGAATATTGCAATTTTAGTATTTTTACAACAGGTTTAGCAAGTTACGACTTTGGGAGATCCCCACAGAATATGTGAGAGGCACGTAGCATACGGTTTACCGAGTTGTAATATTTATATTAGAACTATACTTTTGAGATAACCTGGTTATAGAGACATTGTGAATGAACTGGACATTTCCAAGTTAACTTAATCGCTCAATTGTAGTGGTAGCAAGCTTTCTAATGTAGGTAGTTTTATGGTGAATTGATAGCCTCCTTGATCCCGATTCAGTTGGGGAGCAATGTTTTCCCATTTGGCTTCTCATCTAACGTTTGATCAAATTCCACTAGTGCTTCTCTGACCATCTCGATAATATCGTTATCCCATATTTTATGAAAACGTTTGCTTATTTCGGGGAGGAACTTTCCAAAGTCGTCGCCTACGTTCTCGTCTTGCCAGTGAAACAACGCACAAGCCTCCCGGGTAGCGCCGACGAGCCACTGAGTACGATCATATCTAGCATTGTTATATGCAACGAGGGAAGCATGGCATAGCTCGGCCTTTGTCTTGTTGGTCTGGCCCTCAAGCTTTGTGTTGACGGCTTCAAGCAGGCTTGCTAGAACTAAGGAATCCTCTATTCCGAAGCCAGCACCAGAGCCGAGATGAGGACCAGCGGCATGAGCAGCATCCCCTGCAATAGCTATACAGCCGAGATTGTAGCGTGGTGCTGGATGCTCAAACATGTCAAAGATAGCCCACTTCTGCAATTCGTCGGGTAGCAGGTCTATTATTGCTTTCACAGATGGATGCCAGTCCGCATATGCGCGAATAGCGTCCGCCTTATCTCCTAGAGCCGTGTGTTTTCCGTCGCTAGTACGCCAAGGGTTTGGGTCAGTCATGACGAGCAATATATTCATGAACTGTCCTTTTGCAACGGGGTAGTTAATAACATGCGCTCCTGGACCGTTATACATGAGCCTATTCAATGAGCTCGCTCCGCCTGTAGTCCTCTCCTCCCCCAACACTGCCCGGGCCTTGTCCATAGGAACCAGAGCCCGGAAACAATATTTATTTGTATATGAGGGATATGATGCAGGATTTTCTTCCCCCAATATGAGTTGGCGGACCCGTGAATGGATGCCATCGCAACCAATAACTAGGTATTCTTATTAGCATCAATCTCTAGAGCATTGCTTAGAAAGTCGTTACCGATGTCAGCTTTCTCGATAGTTCCATCTCCGAATTTCAACGATACCTCCCCGTTATCGTTTTGGGTAGCCGACACTATCGACTTCCCAAACTTGACCCTATGTTTGTCAACTAAGTTAGACCATGCCTCTAGGAAGTCGAAACGTCGACCTCCCTGAAAACAGTCGACACCGATCAATAGCCTTGCTGCGAACTCATTCGTTTTGCCGTCAATCCACTGAAAATATTCCTCGCCTTTGGTTGGTGGTGTGACTTGCTTGTAGATGCGGTGTACCTCAGGGTCAACGACTGTTAAAGCACGCTCTGCGTTAGGACTGAAGCCGATACCGGCTCCAATCTCTGTGAACGCTGAAGCTCTATCATAAAGCACGTAGTCAACACCTCGTTTCTGTAGACCCAATGCTAATATAACCCCCGTGATGCCACCCCCAATTATGGCAACATGGATGCGCTTCGTGTCTCTTGGTGCCGACATTACGATAACGGTCTATCGACAAAGTTTGTATACGAGTGTTTAACGATGCGCACTCTATGAGGGAGAAGAAACATATCCGGACTTAAGATAGGGAATGCCGCCAGTCCAGATCCTCAGTATCCAATAAAGGAACAGGAGGCTTGACTGGACGACGGTATTCGTTAGGTACCGAGGATGAGTAGTATCCATCCTCAAAGCCGCCTCAGTGTGCTAATAATTATCGTAGGTATTTGCTACGAGCTCCAACGTCACATTGCTTCTTTCGGTGTTGATTGGGGTAGATGCGTCGGAACACCGGAGGGGGTGTGACAGAAGGCGGATATCCCCCCCTTTGTCAAATCACTTATGGAGGCGCTTTATATCGTTGTATGAAAGAAAAGCAACTTTCATTTCTTGATATCTTGGTATACCCTAAGTATGAAGGAAATGAATAATCCTACTGGGCCAACGAAAGGAGTAGTACTAGTGACGGGTGAGTTAACCTGACTACCTATCCTTCATCGTTAAATACCTACCTTAAGAGGTACCTAAGGTACCGAGGTGGGCAGATAATCTGACGGATTGATTGGGTGTAGGGGGGAGCGGGTTCATTGCATCTCATATCATTGACGAACTTTTGGATAATGGGTATTATTCCTTTCCCACCCCAATGCCTTATACGCTTACTCGTTATGCAGGTTCAGGGTTGTTACAACAGCTAGATCGGATGAAAAGGGTCGCAGAATTGTAGAATCAGCCAGCCCTGCTCAGCGCAACAAGCTCTCCTACATCATTATAGGAGATGTTGCAAAGGAGAATGCCTTTGACTCTGTATGTCTTGAGAGAAACCGAATCAAAGTAGAAACGAAACATCTAATAGTATATTATAGGCATTCACTCAAGGAACAATCTTTGACTATGTTATCCATACTGCATCCCCTTACCATCTCAATGTTCAGGATCCGATCAAGGACTTTTTAGACCCAGCAATTAAGGGGACAACAGGAATTCTCAAGTCAATTGCGGCGCACGCGACTACTGTAAAGCGCGTAGTGATTACATCTTCTAGCGCAGCAATGATCAACCCTCTCAATCACGCGAAGGTATATGATGAGACATGTTGGGCTCCGTGGACTTTGGAGCACGTCAAGGATCTCAACAAAGCTTATGTAGTCAGCAAGGTATAGCATATACACTTATTATTATCGTCGGGGTCATTCACTAAATCAAATTTAGACGCTTTCCGAAAAAGCTGCATGGGCCTTTATGGAAACCGAGAGGCCGAAGTTTGATCTCGTTGTCATTAACTGTACCTACACGTTCGGCCCTGTGCAACGCAACCTTCCGAGTTTGGACGTCATGAACACATCTAATCATCGTATCCGGGATATGCTACAGGGAAAGATGAAGAAAGATATGCCTTCTACGGCGCCAGTCTTCACCTTCGTTGATGTCCGTGATGTGGCTCGTGCGCACCTCAAGGCCGTAACTGTGCCAGAGGCTGGTGGGAACCGGTTCTACATCGTGGGCGGTCATTTCTCGAATAAGCGGATTGTGGACTCGATCCGCAAGTCATATCCAGAGTTTGAAGCACGCCTTCCCCCCAGAGACATACCAGATGACTTACCTGGTGAAGTCGATAGCTTCGACAACGGCAAGTCTAAGAGAGTTCTGGAATTGGAGTACATGTCTTTGGAAAAAAGCGTCAGGGACACTGTACAGTCGATACTAGACCTGAACCTAGGTTTATAAAAGTTGAGGATTAAGTATAAAGATATATTAGTAAACCTAAGCATAGGAAGTCAGCACCTATTATAATAGCCTCACTGGTGTAGACTACCTAGGTAGGTAGGTATTGTTTATGTTCAACATCAAGTTTGTAATTGTTGTCTTATAAAATACCAAATACCCAGTAGATTGTATTAAGAGGTAGTCAAGGGAACAAATTTAGTCCACCTTAGTTTATCTATATACTAAGACTCACCATGTGCCTTGATAAAGTTGACGAAATCAAATATAGAGCGTTTATATGTACGCTCAAGTGTCACGTTGTCGAATATTTGGACCCCAAAGTGATCATTATATTGGCCCCATTCCCAATTATCAACGTAAGTCCTAATCCCAATTACTAAAGCCATGAGAGGGCGTTGACCAAATAGTTGCATCATTGGTTTAGTTGATGGTAGAAATCAACGGAAGTTCAAAGAGCTATAAGAGGTAACTACCTACCTTATATATCCTAAATTCTCATTTCCCGCGTGGAGAACCTGAGGCCTACCGACTCTGTAAGTTGTAATGAGTTGTAAGGATAATTTCCTGGGCATCATGAAATTTCCTATTCAGTTCTAAAGTTTTTTCTAATGCTACCTAAAGTTATCCTACTCACGCGGGGAATCAGAAGATCCCATACTAGTATAAAATAGATGTCGACCTATATTGAATGTAATGTCTAGTTGCGGGGGATGCATGTAGGATAGGAATATAATACACGAATATAATCCGACCTACGGTGCGAATACGAGTATAAGTACGAAGAAACGGAAAATACTACATAGTAGGCCACGGCAACCCCATCATGCTGTATTTTCGTAGCATTACTAAGTTATTTTCTCTGTAGCGAACTTCTTTCCAAAAAGTAGACGGTAGGAAATTTATGTGGTCATATTGTAGAGCCATCCTGTCAGGGTATTATGGGTCAGGGGTAGCTAACAGGGGTCTATCTACTATATAAGAGGCGCGAAGCGCCCTCGTAAGAGGATAGAAGGCCAGGCGTTACAAGATCAATACTACTATTTACTTGGTCTACCTATCCTAGACACTCACTCTGTGTATGACATCAATCGACGGGTATAAATCCTGACACATCCCTGCTATTAATACGAATGAAATGGCGTGTCTGAACAAACCCCTAACGTGCTTTTGAAGAAGTAGGCATACAATAAATTTAGGAATGCGGGTATATATTTGTCTAGGAAAAGTTTGTAGTCGTAGCCCCTATATATGCGGTTGTATCCAAGCTCATACACTGGCTTTTCCGACAGTAATAAATGTTTACAATAACATCAACAAGTTTTGAAAAGGGTATCATCCTCCACCAAGAAATCAAGTTCAAATTATTTAAAATCCATAGCATGCGCACTAGCACTCACATCATGTCAGCTCTCTGGCGTAAAAAGAAGAATTTAGGGGGGGCTGTAGGTTGCTTTACCTTAACCGGGTTCGCCTGGAAGCTGTACCAAAGAAATCCGTGGCGTGATAGTCCACCAGTAAAGCAGACCAGAGGCCGTAAATAGGTCCTTTACTTTGGGTGGAAACACTATGATAGGCAACCAGTTGAATATTAACGATGATATTTAGCCCTCGTAATAGCTTGGGCGATATCTTCTCGACGCCTCATACGCCGTCCACTGAGGACCCGTATCCGTTGCGATATAGGTAGGGGTAGCCGGTGGGGATATCGATCGAGGGAATCCTGGCCAGTAACTTCTTTGCGGCTCGGCAATAGTAACCTCTTCCATATCATCCGAAAAGTATATTATATCGTTCTCGCCGTTGTTATAGACACTGTAAGGCCTACAACCACATCTGTTTGTGCAGCAGCACCATAAGACTATCCCGAGAACGGCGGCCCCGATGCAACACCCTATGATGATACCAATCTGTTGTTGACTGAGACCGTCAGATGAAGCAGCGCCCGCGTTCCAACTCGGAGCCGGAGTGTTCGTCGGTGTGGCACCTCGGTCGAGAGTTACGACGGCGGTAGATGTCGCATCCGGGTATATTATAGTCTGCGTCAACGTGACCTGTCTCCTTACGACACTCGAATACTCTAGGCCCGCGGTAACTACCAATGTTGTAGAGTTCGCGGACATCTCGGAAGTATAAAGATAGCCCAGACTTTGGTATCACGAATCGGATCCAAGAATCACGATCCAGTCCTGGAGAAGCATTACTTTGGAACTGGGTCCCAAGGAGGGCGATCGTTAGGTATTTTATCGACGACCCGTCATACGGGAACAGCCCCGCGTATGTTAACCTGTCCGTCTACGACACGTTGGAACATCCCACACCAATCCATATGCAGCAGAATTGGATCGCATCGTCGTCTGACATTGGTTTAACTCATATGACGCTTCCGCTGCCCTATCGTGATAGGTGCCAGCCTACATGCAGTTGGGTTGCCAACGGCTCGGCATCTAGGCGGATACAGGCATTACACCCTTCTGGCGGGTGCAACATATGACTGCCACTAATGCAAATCACCTGCAGATGTAAGTTATATGTAGGTAGGTTATAGATAATGCGAAGCCCGATCTTGGAAAATCCCATTTGTTCTAGTCCTTCTGGGTGGGTTACATTTGGGGCCAAGCCCCTGGTATATTAACCCTATCACATGGAATGGCCATGAGGACATGCAGTCCTCGCCTTAAATCAGGACTGCACACCGAAAAGCTGCATTGCTTGCATATGTATGTGTTTCTCCCGCTCCGTAGCCGTACCATATGCAATGACATTCTTCAAAGTTATACTATTTGACGCCCAAAGGGATTACCTACTGTAGTCATCAAAGATCTACTATGATTATATTCCTCAGCTCTTATACGACTATGTCCACCGAGGACTTCAATTAAAAAGTCTTATACCGAAACTTTATGTCGATATATAGAGGTAGATAACTTGGATACCTAAGGTAGGAAGAAGCAAGGCCATATACATATATCCCGTTTTAGATACATATTTGACGTATGATACCTAGTAAGGTACCTTGAACAGTTGGTTATATATTCAAAGGAGTAGATAGACCTGGATTATATTTCTCAGTGCAAAAAATACCTCATTGTATTATTGTTTTTAGTCAACTCTCTCAGCTTGTGTAACCGCTACCTTTGCTTCTTCTATATTATGCAATGCGATATCGTGAGCCTGAGAGGAAGACTGGCACTCAAACGTGGGAAAGTCCCTAGTGGACACCCGTTTCTCAAATAATTCGTCAATCTCCTCCAAGGATCTACCTTTCATATCTGGTAGAAATAGCCAGAAGAAGACTAAACAGCCAATTAGCAAGGAAACATCCTAAGCCTCATATGCGCCAGGATCCTCACGAAGGTTAAGACATTGGACGCCGCCCATATCCAGCAATACTTGGCACCCCAATTCAAGGCGGTGGGATTAATGAAGTATGGCGAGCAAAACGAGATTAACCCTAGAATTTCGGTCAGCCTAGTTGTTCATGTTCTACAATATGAAATGCTATGTCACACTACGCCACGAGGCAAGACAACTTACAAGCAAATACATAATCTACACCGGTGGCAAAGGATAACGTGAGCACCCGCAATCTCGAGTTCACCACTTCCGCCGATATAGGCCACGTCATTGATCCAGCGAAACTGCTGTATGTAATAACGTAAAAGAAGTTAAAGGCGAGGAATACTCTTGCAGCTCCTGGTGTGCCGGGCGCGATTGTGGCTCCTTATTGCTGGTCCAACCATAGCTATGACTGCCGAACCGGTCCCTATAAGAAGCATGGTACGACGACCCCAGACTTTGTATGCGCAGTACAAGCCGGCTGTGACACCGACAAGCTGAACTACCATGGAGTAGATACTAATTTTGAAGACATCATCGACTCCGGCTTGCTGGTAAAAGTAGGTCTTGGAGCAACGTTAGACGACGCGAGGCGAGCAGTGCATCGGAGAGATAGGGGGCTTACACCGTAAGACAAGAATACCCATACACCTGAAGAAGCGCGTGAAACCGCGACGGCCACGCATAGCATCGTGCGACGTAGATTAGTGCCCTTGAAAATATTGATTATGCTAGATCCAGACGTGTTCGACTTCTCTTCATCTACCCCCCGGATGATCTCAACGAACTCCTCCTGGAGAAACTCTAGGTCGAGAGAGTCGCCACGAAGAAAAGCGAGCGACTTCTCAGCCTCCTCGCGGCGGTCATGAAGTACCAACCACCGGGGGGATTCCGGAATAAAGAACACGAAAATACTCAGCAATGTAGGAAATATGAACAGACAGGCGAGGGGAATCTGGTAGGAAAGCTTGCCCATAATATGAGATGTCCTTTCGTCGACGATGGCCCCAAGAATAGTCCCAATGTTGATAGTGACGGCGAACATAGCGGAGCAAACTGCACGTAGCCGTGGAGGCGCGCACTCGACGATGTACGCGTTTGAAAAGGTGATGAAGAAGGCGTTTGAAGCTCCCATCAACGCCCTCCCAACACACAAGGTGGCAATTGAAGTCGCCACTATCTGAGTAGCACATCCGGCGAAAGCGATAATGGCGCCCATCCATATCCCATGCCTGCGACCAAAATAGCGACCAAACGGTGTAATGAAGAAAACGCCGATTATAGTTCCCACGTTTAAGAATGATGCAATCAACTGTTGGTCGGTCGTAGAGATGCCCTACCCCCCTTTCAGCGCTGGATCTCGGTATCCGAAAGTCATCAAGAAGCCTCCGTCCTCATGAGGGGTGAGTTGCCCCTTAACCGTACTATGAGAATGCAGAAGTGTCCACAGCGCCTTGTTTTTATGAGGATTATTCCCAAGGCAACTTCAACTCAGCGTGAAGTATAATACGGCTGGATGGATATTGTAAAGGAGCATGACAAAGACGATCGACTGTCGTTAGGTACTTATTCGGGGAGGGTTACTTACACCTTAAGAGTGTAGATATTAGGTAGACACACGAAGTCAGTACCTACGGCAGTTGAGCTCAGTGCTGACGCATCTCCATCTCATATTCGCCGTGGCCAGCAAGGGGGTGTAGTACTATTCCGTTTGAAGAGATTGACAACCACCATAGCAATTAAATACAGGTAGATCAATCAATTTTCAACAAGGGCTGTTGTCACTGTATATTGAGTAGTTCCATAGCTCAGATCGACGCTCTAGAGCAGTTATTATTATATACCTTAGGTAAATACCTACCTAGGTAGATAGATACCTAGCTTCCCAGCCTCCCAGCTTCGTTATAAGGTAAGAACTCATCCTTCTAGAGCTCACCTCACTCCGCAGGCTTTTCCCCTACTATCTTCCCATCCTTATCATAGAAAATCTCCTTCACCTTCACAGACCTCAAGTGGTTCACGCCCTTGCTAAGCTCGCAGTCATGGTGGAACAGCCACCAGCGGCCCTGGAATTCGACCACCGAATGGTGCGTCGTCCAGCCTAGCACCGGCTCAAGCAGGCGCCCCGCGTATGTGAATGGCCCGAGCGGGCTTGATCCCGTCGCGTACGCCAGGTAGTGCGTGTCTCCTGTCGAATAACTAAAGTAGTAAACGTTCCCCCGTTTATGCATCCACGCAGCCTCGAAAAACCGTCGGTCGTGGTCGTCTGCGTCAATTGGCTCGCCGGTTTCCGGTGCTAGAATGACAAGATCCTGCACGGGTCCCTCGAATGATCGCATGTCGTCCGCCAGTTTAGCTACCTTCGGGAACAGCGCCTTGATCCCTGGTCCCGAGGGTTCTTTTGGCCCGAGCCATTCTGCGTCGAAGTGCTCGGGTCCGTTGCCCTTCTGATAGCATTGTAGCTGTCCGCCCCATAGGCCGCCGAAGTACAAATATGCAGATTCGTCGGCATCGTCGTCCACGAAAGACGCAGGGTCAATACTAAAACTACCCGGGATAGGTTCTGGTTCCGGGACAAAAGGACCAACAGGGGTATTGCCGCTGGCGACGCCGATGCGGAACACCGAGTTCTTACCACGCGCTGGGAAGTACAAGTAATATTTGCCCTTGCGACGGGCTGCGTCGGGAGCCCATAATTGTTTACTAACCCATGGGACGTCTTCCGTACGTAGTACGACACCATGGTCCGTTACTTTAGGTGGCTCTGCAGAGGCGGAAGAGGGGGATGATGCGTAGGCGTCGAGAGAGTCAAGCGAGAAGACGTGGTAGTCGGCCATGTCATACTGATCGCCATTGTCGTTGAATTGGATATCAGTCTCGCGGTCATGCGACGGGTAGATGTATAGCTTTCCGTCGAAGACGTGGGCGGAAGGATCCGCGGTGTAAAGGTGTGTTATTAGGGGGGGCGACATCTTGGTTCTGTAGATATCTTTTAATCTTAGATATTCCCCTTGTTCAACTCTAGCCGAGTACCTACCTTAGGTACCTAAGGTATGTAAAGCTATTATGCAAGTAGTTGGCTTTTAATACTTGACCACGCTCTATTCACGATACTCTGCGGGGTTCTGATACCCCGAGGAGGATGGGGAAGTGGAGAGGATTCTTGGTGTTGAGGGGTTTGTCTTTGGACTATTGCTAGGTTTACAATCTAAGATTATATAGATATGAATCTGAAATACAGATGAACTTATACTTATCTTGTTTTGTGCCGCGCGGGTTCATTCAAGTTCATCGTATCACGCGATTTATACACCCACTAAAGCACTTATAAGGACTGGTGACGATCGCTCTTCTCTCATCCCGGCGGAATGGACGTCCGTCTTCTTCCAATTTATCCCTATTTAACCGCCCGTCCGCCTACTTTAGCTCCGTCCCACTTACCGTATACGACACTCTTCTTCGCAGTCATACTATTTAGATGCAATTGAACGCCGAGGTTCTATGTAGTTCGGATTACCTGGGTTAGCGTCCCGAACTAGGCGCTGTATCATAGACAGGCATTCGGGGATTTGGACCAAGAAACAAGCGACTACACTTCATAATATATCTTTATTTTTCATACGTGTGTTATGTAGGTACCTATATATTTACCTAGATAAGTTGTCTATACCTTGACACGTAAGATTTCGTCTATACGAGAAACTTAGGGTTATGATCCGGCACCGTCTTTATCTGATCTAGGAGGTATCTTGTACGCTCACTCTAGCCAACCACGACGTTTCATGCATCCATAACACCTAATGTGAGCCGGCGAAGAGCATCTTCATACCGTCCAGGGCTATGATCCAACAACATGCTAGAACCAAATCTAACTTCTCTAAACCGAGCCTCCACATCTCTAATATACTTGAATACGACTCGGGTCGCAGGTCGCCCGACCTGACCAGTACCAGCTTGCAGGAAAGCGTCTCTCCTAAGGGCTGGCGTGCTCTCAATAGAGAAGACCTCACCAGGAGGTAGCAGTTTAGAACTCATCATACTAGCGCGTAATGTCTTAAGCGCAGCATATGCCCATTCATCTTCTTCTTCGTGCGACCGCTTTGGACCGTTGTTATACCATTTATCGGCCAGACCCGACTGTAGTCCCTCCCAGATTCGCCGCCGTACTTCTGCCTTCGCCTCGCTATTATCAGTCTTGAATGCCAGCGCCACAGCCTGGAAGTCATGCAGGACACCAAGCGACAAGTATGGAACAAGGTCGTTTCCGTGTACCGTACTGGTGATTAATCCCCTTGTCGCTTTTTGTAAGGACGGTGACATGGTAGAAGGCGGGCCATATGCATATACATGAATGGGCCTGCCGGGCGGGAGACATATATGGGAGGCGGTTTGGTGGGACTGCCCGCTCGCAAGTAGTCTCTGATGGGGTTCAGCTGAAGTGACAAATGCTGTTCCACTAGAAGCAGGCTCAGCGAGCATGGCTCCAAGTAGCGCAGTTACGCCACCACCAAGTGAATGGCCACAAAGCACTAGACCATAGTCCGAAAATTCCTCGAGAGCTTCTTTCAGTGTTGCGAGTACCCTTCCATCACCCCCATATAGAAGTCGCCGCGCAGAGGCATGGATGCCCTTATGGACCTTATACGGCTTCCCACGCCAGAACAGGTCATCGTACTCGCACATCATATCTGCTAAAACATCTTCAAAACCCAACGTACCGCGGCAGGACAAGACAACAGCCTTGGACTCTTCATCGATTGCAATTGTATGTACGAGGGGTACCCCTGTGTCGGTAGACCCAGTGGAATCGGATCCGCCTTGTGGGTCAATAAATGACGACAGGAGGATGCTGTCCGGCGGGAGCTCGGTATGATGCGCGAATGAGCGCACATCTTGATGTGTTTCGTCCAACGCTTTTAAGATGGGAAGCTCTTTTGCAATGCCCATCATTTTTAAAAAGTTTGACCCATACGAAGCAGACGCATAACGACTATATCGGGTAATGTTTCTTAGGATATGAAAGTCAGGGAACATCCCCCCAACTGTTCCCGTACGTCGCAGAGTATCGACAGCCTCTGAATCACTGTATGCGCTTCTTTGCTGAAACGTGGATAGGGCTAAGGACATTTGCGAATCTCTAGTCTTAAGAGTATATATGCTTGGGCTGTGAAAACCACGATGTTCTGACGTCGTCCTTTTATGACCCCTTGACGGCGAGCGAAGATGCTGCGTACCCATATCGTGTCCGGTTTCAGAGTACGATATGCTACTATGGCCTCTGGGATCGTTTCGTTGAAATAAAGGAGACGATGGTCGGCTTTCAAACGAGTGTACCGAGAAGGTATCAGCTAGAGAAACAATCGAGTTAGGCCTCCTGCCTTGTGACGATACGTATTTTGCTCGCAATGGTGATCCATGTAAAGTGGAGGTACCCTCGCCATCGCCTAGGTCTCTCGAGGAAAAGTGGTTCGGGCTCCCTCGGCGCGGTGATCGAGGAAGCTCGCGATGCGGTATCAGATTTGAACTTCTTTCTGGATAGTCTCTTCTATGTGATGCCGACACCTTACTACTTTGCGAAGGCTTGTTGCTACCCCAAGGAGGTTTCATTATTGCTTTTGATTTGTTATTTGTTTGGAGATTCTCCGAGCTCGAGTCCCTGTGCAATAAAACCGACCCCTTCCTAAAGACATCTCGAATACCACTCCTCTTTTCATTACCCTTCACGTTTGGTGGCGAGTCGAGCTTCTTAGTCGGATATTTACTGCTAGTTGGCGAAGTCGGGACAGGAAGGGTGCTACGAGAACTTTGTCGAGCGTCATCCAATGGTTTTCTGGTGCGTTTCTGATTCGCGGCATGCTCAGGACTCTGGTTAGGAGAAACAGTTGGAGATGCACGATCCTTAGTTGAATCAAAAGTCGACCCAACCGAGTTACTGGAAGCAGACTTGGATTGATAGCCCAGATGATCGCTTCTAGTATTGCCCTTTCCCTTCGCCGACGAAGCGAAAGTTGAACGTGCAGCTTTCGGTGGGACAGGAGGGGGCTGGTCGGACTGATGAGTATCTATGTTATTGGGTGACTGCAGCTCTCCATCGTCAACTACTTCAACCCTAGACTGAGTATCGTCCTCGGCATCGCTATCAGTAGCCATATTTCTCACCTTATTCCGGCTTATCTTGTAAACAACCCTATAGCCGGGCCCCGCCTCTCGGTTTCCGGGGATATCTCCAGAGCTATTAACTTCGCTTTTTACGATATCAACCCCAGGTAGTGATAAAATTGGTACTCGCGGACTGCCTTTTATATCAACAGTGATCGTCTTTGTCGTGGTTGTTGAAGTAGTAATAGATACTTGAGCATCTTTAGGGAGTGATCTTAAAATTTGTCGCTTGAGTTGGGCTTCGGGGATTCCATCCTCGTCGTCACTATTCCACCTGACGCCGTGCTGCTCGACTGCTTCGATCAAGTTTTCATGGCTACCTACATCGGGTTCTCCGTGATGCTTATTGATATGTAGGTCTTCGCCGTCAATATCAACTCGTTCGCCATCATCGAGGAGGACAACATCCCAAATAATCTCTTCTTGACCAAGGCGACGTGACTCATCTTGTATCATCTTTCTGCACCAATTTTGTAGATATGCCAGGCCGCATAAACCAAGTATAAGGTCAAT